TCGGTGTTCCTTCGGGGCTGTTGTCCCCCAGTGTGATGACACCACGATAGGAGGGTTCAGACAGGGACAATTGTCTCAGAACTCTTTAGCCTCATTGTCCCCGAGCTGCACATGTTGTGGTCAATCGAGGCCCACAGCCTGGGGCAGTGCCAGAGAATTAGACACCACCAGAACGGAGGATGGCAAGGATCATCCTACTGTGTGCCAGTCCGGCCTGGGCTCCACACTTGGGAGGGAGTGGGGGTGGGGACGGGGACGGGGCAGTGAATGAGCCAGGGGGTGGGGTTCAGGTCCTGCCTGCTGTGTTCAGTCTACCTGGGGATATTGTCTCCTCCATGGTTGCCCAGGGTCCCCCTGCACTTTACCAGATGGCTGGCTTTAGCAGTCCCCAAGAGTAAGGAGCCTGTGCCTTCACGATCAAAGCTAAGTGGCCCTGTCACCGCTCCCTGCGGTGACATAAGCAAGGAAGTCCTGGTCTTCTGTACCGTGTCGGAACCAGTGCAGATAGACTGAATACTAACAACCCTGGGATGTAGGGAATGTCCGTCGTGGAAAGCTGCAGAGAGAGAGAGAGATCAAGTATGCTGCAGGTAGAAAGAACCAGAGGGAAGGACTCAAGGACCCAGACCCCAGACCCTAGGCATGGAGCTGCAGGCTCAGTGTCTGCCCACCCGGATTCTGGTCTTGCTTTGCCCCAATCCTTCTTTGCCATCGTTCCCATCCTCCCATTTATTTACCCTGTGCCATCCTATGTCAGAAGCATGGGACTTGTTTCCTGTTTGGGGTTTGTTCTTTTTTTAACCTTACTGGTTTTTACAGAGGCTCAAAATTGTCGCCAGTCACAAGAGACTTTGGACTTTTGAGCAATGTAGGTGCTGGCAGATGCTACGGAGATTTTTGCACTGTGTTTTATATGATGGAATGAGCCTTTATGGGACGGGGTGGAATGTTTCCATTTATAAGTACTAGTCTGGGTGTCCAGTTGCTAAGGGGTGGAGTTGTGATGGTTTACCTTGTCAACTTAGAATCGCCTAGGAGACACACCTCTGGGCATGTCAGCGAAGCCAGGTTCCAAGGAGACTTAACTGAGAAGGGAAGGCCTCAGCCTTACCCCATAGGTCGGTACTTTATGTGGGATTAAGTGTAACAATAAACAAGTAAAAAGAAGGAATCAGACTGAGCACCATATTTACCTCTCACTGCCTCCCTAAGGCAGGTGCAATGTGACCAGATGCAACGCTCTCTTGACTGACAGGTGCCTCACCGTCCATGATGGACTTCATCCCCACAGACTGTAAGCTGAAATGAACTTCTTCTGCTGCTTCTTCTGCTTCTTCTTTATTTTTGTTTTGTTTTTCGAGACAGGGTTTCTCTGTGGCCTTGGAGCCTGTCTTGGGACTCTCTCTGTAGACCAGGCTAGTTTTGAATTCACAGAGATCCTGCTGCCTGTGCCTGGGACTAAAGGCGTGCGGCACCAATGCCCGGCTCAGAACCTGTTCTTGTTTAAACCCATTTTCAGATAATTGCCACAGCAAGGGTCAAAGTGACCAGCAGATGGATTTCTCACAGCCACGATGGCCCGTGTGCTGCACGGAAGCCAAGGCAGTGTGCTGCACGGGGGTTGATGCTGCACTGGGGTCAGTGCAGTGTGCTGCACGGGGGGGGGGGGGGGGGGGGGATGCAGTGTGCTGCAGGGTATCAATGCAGTGTGCTGCATGGAGGTCAATGCAGTGTGCTGCACGGGGTCGATGCAGTGTTCTGCACGGGGGTCACTGCAGCGTGCTGCTTGCATTGATGGGAGACCTGACTTACACTCTTCTTGAATGACTGCTAAAAAGCAAAGGATCCGAATGTCAGGCTCAGCATGCCTGGACCCCACAGGTCAACCACCCTAAACCGAACCGGACCATTTCAAAGGGAACCACGGAGCTAAAGGGGCCGGCATTTAGGCACACCGGCTGTTAGATTACAAATCAAGGGAAATGGTGACACTAGCTAACTGACAGTGCCAGGTACCCTCTGAGTGTCACTCAAGGCATGGGGTTGAAGTCACACAGAGTCAAAGCCTGGATCTCACAGGCACATACCACACACAGGCATGGCACAGCTTCCTCTCGTTTCACATACGACGTTACCTTCTAGGATGGACGTCAACCTCTCCCACGTACATGTAAGACAGAGAGAGGGAATGCCTCTTATGTTTGCTTTCACTGTTCTTTTATACATGGACACAAGACTTAACCACAGTTCGCACTTATTATGCAATCTGGTGGCAACCCTGGCTGCTCCTCACATGAACCATTTGCTTCCAGCCAGGATGGCCTACATGTTAGAAGGTGTGTTAGGCACGAGCCAATGTTTTATTGACTGTGTACAGGTGGTGTCTGTTCAGATTCCACAGTCTTCCTGAAATAAATGCAGACTCCCCTTGTTTTTGTTCTGTGGAACGGCCTTAGGAGAGATTTGGGATAAAGCTCTCGTGGGAATGTGCAATTTCTCACAACTTTGTTATAATTCAATTGAACTCTTAGAAAGGGTTGGTCTAGCTGGGCGTTGATCCCAGCATTGGGAGGCAGAAGCAGGTGGATCTCTGTGAGTTTGAGACCAGCCTGGTCTACACAGCTAGTTCCACCAGGACAGGTTCCAAAGCAGTCAGAGAAACCCCATTTCAAAAAACAAAACAAACAACAACAACAACAACAAAAGCATTTGTTCTTCAAATTCTTAGAAATCCAGACAGTTCCTAGCAGAGTGACCTTTGGTGAGCCCAGAACTTAACAAGTGTTCAAAGGTTTCTTTCTCGACGGGTGGGTTATCAGTCACATCCTCCAAGAAGCTGCACACACCATCCAATCCCATTTTTTATTTAAGCCTTAAGAAACCGTAGCACAGTGATATAGAAGTGTCCCTGGAATGTCAGCAGTGACGGAGAGACCTCGCTAGCACAGACCTTCCTTGTCCTACGCAGAGCCATCGACCATCCTACACAAACGTGCCCCCATTTCTAAAGTGGAGGGCCAGGCGCACAAGCCCCTGTGAGTAACCAGCCAGGGAGAATGTGCTTAGCTTTGGACCGAGGCCGGTTAGAACCGAGGACGTAGGAGAGCGGTCTGGAGGAGACATTGGGGAAGGAAAACCAAAGCAGACACACACAGGGATGGACAGAGTGGTCTGGACACACAGGACGGACAAGAGTGAGGAACACCTCCCTAGAGGCCACCCTATAGGACGCATGGGGGACTCTTCCCCGGGCTGTCACAGCCGCTGGGGGCAGGGAGCTGAGCATCTTAAGACTTGGTGTTTGCACTGGGTGTGAAGCCCTACCCGTGCCAGGCTTGGGCGCAGAGGCTCCCCACCCGTCCTGCCTAGAGAAAGAGCCCTTCTGCTCACTCTGGGAGAAAACCTCCCATCATTTTTGCCCCTCTGGCATCAACCATTTAAAATCAATGGAAATCTACTTTTAAGCTTTCAAACTAGGATCAGGAAAGAGGAATCAATTAGTGGCTTTTTTTTTTTTTTTTTTTTTTTTTTTTTTTTTTAAAACTCAATTAGTGGCTGGCCGGTGTAGCTCCCTCTGAACTAACTAAGGCTTCGTGTTTGACAAAGCTTGTGCTGAGGATGAAAGAGAGAAGGAAAGAAACAGGGACACACACACACACACACACACACACACACACACACAGAGAGAGACAGAGAGAGAGCACGCACAGGTGTCTACAAAGAAAATATGTAGTTGGTTCTTAAAAATGTAAGGCTTCGATTTAAAATACAATTAAGAATCGACACATTAAAAATCTAACGAGATAAACACTAAACCAGTTATTGACTTGGCGTAAGGTTAAGTTTAAAATAAAAAATAACTGAGGTACTGCATTAGTCTTCTACAGCCAACCTTATCTGATTAGATCAAATTCTTCCTTCTCATCCTCTGGGTTAGCCCCTCAGGCACGGGAGAGATACAAAAGAATCACCCTCGAGTTAGTGGGAAGGGCATGGCTGCTATGAGATGGGATTTCTACCCTTCACTCAAAAAACAAATCACATTTAAAAAGTCACTATTTACAGCTTACAGAGCCCGTGTGGCTGATCTTCACAGTGACAGAGGAAGACACCTGCTCTCACCCACGGCTACTTCCTGCTTCCCCCTCGAACTAACTGCTCCACTCCGCTCCGGCGGCCTGGCCGGGCAGACTTGCCCTGCTTTGCTTTCACAAACATGCGCCATCCCCACACACAGTGTGGGAGACACCGCTGTGCCCCCAGTTAAAGGCTGCATTCTTAGCACACGCCAACCACAACCGACCCCTGTCCCCTCCTTGGTGCGGCTCTTGAAAACAATCCTGTGCTCCCCCGGAACACGTGAGTGGCTGAAGCTACAGTGAGACTGGCCCACTGGCGTATTGCATGAATGCGCATATATGCAAGAGTGGCGATGTATGCATTTCCCGAGAGCACGCGCGCGTGGTTGTGCATGTATGCATGCCCACATGCACTGCTGAAGGGGCAGTGCATGTGTAGCTATGGGCATGGGTGTGCCTATGCATTGGCTTGTGAAAGTGTGTGTGCGTGTGTGTGTGTGTGAAAGCGCAGGGGTGTGGGGGTGTGGGGTGGCTGAGTACCCAGCTGGCAGCCAGGGCACAAGTCCACCAGCATCATCCTTTGGCAGCAAGAGCTCCCTTCCCCTCAAGCTCGCTCGCTGGGGCTGCCCGGTCACAGGTTAAGCTAATCAGAGTTCCCAGGCGTTCCCAGCACCCAACCTCTTTCTGATTTGGAAAGAAACAATTCATAAACGTAGCACCATGTCCCAGCTCTCCAACAGGAGACCACCCACCCTCGGTGGTCACAGGCTTGCAGAGTAGTCCCCCAGGAGGTGGGATAGCACCTGGGGCAGACCACCACAGGGACCACTCCTTAGAGTGGGCATTAGAAGGCATTTCACAGGTCCTTCCTCCCCTGGGGGGGGGAGGGGGGGAGGAAGAGCAGAGTAAAGACAGCCACTGGAGTCAGGCAAGTCGGCTGTGTCCCACGCTGACCTACTTGGCTCGCCGTACAAGGTACACAGGTGGGTGGTGGGCAGTAGAGGAGGCTGTGGGTCACCTATGACCAAGTGCAGCTGAGCAAAGTTCCAGGCCGTGGTCCTGTCCCTTGCTGGCCTACCTGGTTCACAAGAGCCCAGTTGGGCAAGGAGCGCAGGAGGCGGTGGTGGGCTCCAAGTCAGGTGGGGACACACCAGGCCACCTAGCTCACAGTGTGCTCAGGTGAGGGAGCGAGTCCAGGTGTCCGGTGCGCCCCCTGGCAGCGGCTGCCGACTCCACGCCACGCAGCCACTCGGTGCACTTGCGCACCAGGCCCTCGTCCACCACCTCCACTTCCTCCTCATACTCCTCGTCATCGTACCTGTGCTTCTCATTGAGCAGCGACACCTTGAGCACCGGGCGCAGGCTGGAGGGGCGCAAGCTGGGCAGAGGGGCCTGCAGACCTCCTGGCATCAGGGAGGCGCCTGGAGAGCGGCCGCTGACAGCCACAGCTAGAGGTGCGTCGGTGGCACCGCCCCTCCGCACGGTCGAGGTCCTGGTCCGGGGACAGGGGACGACCAGTGGGCGCCGAGGGTCGGCCGACGGCGTGGGGAAGGGTCTGCGGGGCCGCGCCAGCAACTGCTTCTCCAGGTGGCGCCTCTGGATGACCAGGATGGCTTCGGGCGTGAGGCTCAAGGAGAAACGCGTGGCGTCGTCTGGCCCGGCCCCCGCCCCCGCCCCCGCCGATGTCCCCGCGGAGGTGGCTCCCGCTGGGCTGTGGATGCAAGCGACCCGCCGGGGCGCGGAGCACGTGGTAGAGGTTCCCGCACGGATTTGGGAGGGCTGGGGCGGAACGCGTGCGGAGATCGGCGGCTGCGGGGTGCCGGGGGCACCCAGGCCGGGGCCGCGGCGGCCCAGCGGCCTCTTCAGGGTGGTGGAGGGCCACGAGCTGGAGAGCAGCATCTCGGGCGGCCTCTTCTTCTCGCCGGCGGCGACAGGCGGCGAGGGCGCGGGCGGCACGCAGGGCCTCCGGGATAGCAGGCGCGCGGTGGGCCCCCCCGGGGTCCGGGAGGGCGGCGGCGGCATAGGCGTGAATGACATGAGGCCCCCGAGCAAGCGGATCATCAGTGTCCTGCAAGGAGAGGGGCGGGTCTCAGCCACCGCGCGCGGAGCCGCCCCACAGGCCCAGCGACCCCCTGCGGCTCCCCATCTGTTGCAGATGGCCGCGCCCCCCCCCCACCCGCACACCCACCTGCGAGCAGCCGCGGCATCACCCGCTCCCTGCTAGCCCTGGCCTAAGCCCCGCAGCTTCGATAGAAGGCTCCTCCCTCCGCTTCCTCGCTTCCGCAACCCCGGGAGCTCCCTCTTAACCGACTGCTCCGGGCTGGGCCCTGCGGGCACCGCCACCAGCCACCCAACTGCAGGCGAATCGGGACATCGCCGGGTTCGCACCTCCGAGACGCGCGGGGCTGGGCCAGGCGGCGGGAGGAGGAGCGCGCGCAAGCAAGGGCTTGCCAAGTCCCGGGCTGCGCCAGGCGAGGGCTGCTGTCGCAGACTGCTGAACGCTGGAGACAAAGTGCCCGAGAGCTTCAGGGGCGGGAGCGGGCGCCCGGTAGCCCAAGCTCTCCCGTTCTCCCATGGCCCGCGAAGCGGAGGCTTAGCTTACTTAGTCCATCAGAAACAGGGAGCTAGGTCTCAAGGGCCGTGCCACTGCTGGAGCCCTGTAAATGTTAGCCAGAAAACCCCTTTCAGATGACACCAGAGAGAAATTCCGGGCCAGTCTGGAATCGCAGGGAAAACAGCCAGAACCGGGCGTGGCGTTTCAGCGCTACCTAGGTTGATGCCACTCCTTAGGAGATGTATGCAAATTAAAACCAGTTGACATCTGTGGATAGGCAAGGCAGTTTGTTATATAATAGTGACATAGAAAATGGTAGACATTGTTCTGTTTTAACAGTGACTGCAGGCCCAGGTGATGGACGTGTTACCGCCACAGCAGGGTTCAAAATGAGAGCCGGCTGGTCTTTACCTCGCCTCATTTCCTGGTTTCCTGGTTGAACTACCTGGAAACATACCTACAATACTGAAAGGTCCAATACGTCGGCAATCCAACAGGTAAAGCAATGTACTCAGAAGTCAAAGGCTTTACAGGGCAGTCCGGGCACATGTCTCACTTAAAGGTGAGCATCAAACATCTAGACAGAAAACAAAAACCCTCCATCACACTGAAGAGCTCTGAGCCATGGAGAGTCAGTCGCAGCACATGGAAGTGGGTAAAGCCTGTGTGCTCTGCGCCAGAGTCGCGCCTCCCCCCTCTTCTGCACAGCAGCAACTGGACACTCAGAGCCAAGGTAGCCAAGGAAACTCCGGCAGCGGAAGCATCTCTTTAGTGGTGTGGCAGTTGGTGTGGGCCCCACAAGTACCACAGGCATCTCCACCACACCGCATACTCATGCTATGCAAAAGCAGCTAGCTTCCAGAGAGCTGTCTCACTCACAGGGCATCAAACACAGCGAATCCCACTAGACACTAGCCTCTGAGCTCGGGCCACCAGAACAGGGGACAGCTTAGCTCCCAGGACACTGAAAGCAGGCTCTTGTTTTTATTCTGGCTTCTGGTTTCTAGGTAGTTGTGGGGTATACACATGTAAGCAGTGGCCACAGATGGAGAGCTAGGGGGAAAGGGTCAGCAGCTGCTTCTGCCGCGGCAGCTGGGAAGGTCAACTTTAGAGGAAACCCAACAAACAGCTGGGTACCCAGACGTCCTGTACGCCAGGGAAAACGTGTAATGTCTGAGATCAGGCTGCTCCTCAAGCATCAGGGTGTCAAAAGTAACGGCCTTAGGGCTGAAGGTCAGAGGTGGGGGGGGGTGGCAGGGCAGTCCCCTCATTTTGAGAGTGGACATAGACTGGCGTGAGCCTGTGCCAAGCACGCCTTGTCCATTCTGCTGGAAAACTGGGGCTTCCGAAGCTCCAAAATGCAATGAGAGACAGGACAAGGCTCAGCACCAGCTAAGAGTCTGAAGCCAGACTGAACCATTACACAAGAAAGGTCTCAGAACTAGGATTGGCATGTAAAAGTACAGGGAAGCAGGCGAGTGATTACCAGGGTGACAGCTAAGGTGACCCAGATGAGGAACTGGTGTGTTCCGGAGCCTGCACCCTGGGAAGCTGCAAGCATGCCTGGGACTCATGTCCCAGGAGTCCGGGAGGAGTAGAAGCGGGAAGCTCCAGCACAATATGACCTCAGGGAAGGGGCTGTATTGGTGTACCTCATGTGGGTTGCCCTAGCAGAAGCAGCGTGTTCCCTTCTGACAGGGCTCCTCCAAATCTTCTGACACCGAGAACGGCGTCTGCACGCGAGCAGCGTCTGTCTGCCTGTGCGCCTCCCTCTGCCTCTGACAAGGATTCGGGAAGAGCGGGGCACCTGGAAGGAGACATAGGGGCATCTGCTGCTGCTTCAGTGGCCACCCTGACCGTTAGGGAATCCGTTACACATTCCATCTGGTGGATGCGGGTGTGGGTGGCAGTTGGAACAAGGGAGATGGAGCTTGACTTTCAAACAGGAGATGCAAGCACTGGCAAGATGATAAAGGGCCCTTGCTGCCAGGTTTGACGGCCTGGGTTCGGTCCCTGGAACTGACTCCTATAAGTCCTTCTCTGCTGGCACTGCGGGCGGGGCACAGGCACACACTTGCAGAAGTAAATAAGTGCAAAAACAACTTAAAGTAGTAAAAAAATAAACAAAATCAGAAAACGGGGGGGGGGGTAGCATTGAAGCGATTAATCGACAAGTAGACTTTTTATATAATTTTAAAAACATGCACATTTACCTGGGATTTCATATAATGTGGAGAGTGAGGAAATAGTAGACATCGTTCTGTTTTAACCTTCTCACATGATACTGACACACACACATACCCACACATGCACGCACGCACCGCACAAAAACGAAGGGAAAAAGTCTGACAAAGCTCCCAACACCTGTTCTGAAGGAAAATGTCCCTCATAAACTCACATGTTTGAATACCGGGTCTCCGGCCAGAGGCTGTTTGGGGAGAGTCTGGAGATGCGGTTTTGTAGGAGGATATCTCTAGGTGGGAATCTCGAGATTTCAAAAGCTCTTCCTCATTTCTGAGTTAGTGTCCTCTGCCCCGTTCTGTGGCTTGAGATGTGAGCTCTCAGCTGCTACGCTTTGGCTCTGCCATCATAAACACCAACTTGCTGGAACCTTCTGGAACCACAGGCTTTCATTTGTAAGTTGCTTCAGTCATGGTGTTTCACGGCAGCAATAGAAAAGTAACCCACACACCCACTGAACTTAAGCCAGATGATATGTTTGCTGGGCTCGATGTGTATACAAAGCACCGTGGGAATGTTCATTGTAGTCCAAGACCCAAATGCTTTTAAATATTTATTATGTATATATACACAACGTCTTTCCATAATAGACAATTCCTTTCCATTCTTCTCCTAGCTTAGCCTTGTCTTCTCCTGATATTTCCAGAATAGCTCTTCTGAAACTTGATTTTCTATTTGCATTATAGATTTTTCCTTTAAGATTTACTTATTTATTACATATGCAGTGTTCTGCCTGCAGGTATGCCTGCATGCCAGAAGAGGGCACCAGATCTCATTTCAGATGGCTGTGAGCCACCACATGGGTGCTGGGAATTGAACTCAGGACCTCTGGAAGAGCAGCCAGTAGTCTTAAGCTCTGAGCCATCTCTCCAGCCCTTTAAGCCAGATGATTAAAAAAAAAAAAAAAAAAAAACAAAACAAAACTCAGGTCAGCAAATTCAAACACACATATTTGGCTGTCGCTGCCCTCCGTCATTTCGTCTTAGCACAAAATTAACTTGCTTCCAGATTTCAAATATAATAACACAGTAGTTACCACAACCTTCACGATTTTCAGAATGAGTAAAAAATGATTACACCCAGGCCTTACTGCAATGGCAGGTGGCTCTCGAAGGTGTCAACTGCCTGAAGAAAGGCACCCCAGCTGTGCACGTGGTAACAGTCCAGCCCACAGATGTGCACATACCTGCCAGGTCCCTTACCCCCAACTCCACAAGGGGTCACCAGGGGGAGAAGCCGGGCAGTGGTCAGAGGGCAATACCAGGAAGTAAGACAATGAAGCATCTCGTTATTCTTTACCGAGGGCCACATCCCACTTAAGTGCACGTCTGGGAAAACTTCAGAACATCCGGTGCATGGCTTTCCGAGCTGTCCCGTGCACTACACTTGGATTGTTTTCTTCAGCCTTCACTGGGAGGCACGTGGTGACAGCATCAGCCCTCAGTGCATCCAGGAAAATCCAGCATCAGGGTTAGGTGCTGTACTCAGGTACTAATGTTCCAAATGACCTCAGATTTTCCTTGATAGTTTTGTACTTCAAGAGCTGGCTTGGCAGTTTTCACAGAAGAGAAGAGAGCAAAGTCTGTGTTTTTCCTGGGCCATGCTGCCAGCGTGGGGGGTGGGGAGACAATGCAGCTAGCAAACGGGGCATTCGATGCTTGCCTCTGTCCCACTCTGGGGCTGGTCACTCTCCAGAACCCCACCAGCCCAACTCTTGTAAATGATGGGAACTGGAGTTGCCACGGCAACGGTACCCAGGTCCCTGCTGCACACACCTAGCTCCTGACACTGACAGGGACCCTGAGGGGGCATAGCAGATGCCCTGAGCCAGAAATGCAAGCTCCTTTCTTGGCTGTCATGTGTGAGCTGTGCCTTATCTGTACTCGGATCCTCTTGGCAGGTGGCATTACCACACCCAGCAGCGTAGGACACTTGCCACAGGGAAGAACCTCTGTAAACCCCACACTTGGTCATGGTACCCAGCACCTCTGTGGACACCAAGGTAGAGCATAGCTCCAAAGAGCCTGCAGGCTAGGCAGATTTATTTTTATGTATATGTGTTTTGGTCACCATGAGCATGGGGAAGCCAGAAGGGGGATCAGATCCCCCGGAGCTGGAGTTAAAGATGATTGTGAGCCACCATGTGGGTACGAGGAATTGAACTCAGTTCTCTGGAGAGCAGCAAGTGCCCTTAATCAGAGGCATTTTTCTCTGTCCCCAAGGCCACAGTTCCTGAGTGTCCCTAGCTCATGTCCCCTCCCACCATCTCTGCACGTTGAAACACCGAGCAGTGTGAATCGCTCTCCTTGGTCCAGGCTTCTCTACTCTGTGCTATGGACTCATCTTCATACACACCTACTGTCCTACTCAGCAGCCCTCTCTCTTCGAGTGTGCCTGCCTGAGCCGTGCATCCCTATCCCTGCAAATGTGCTCCTGCTGGGCACTGCTGGGCAACTGCCAGCTCACGGGGCCTGAAGGACACAGCACCAATCACTGCTTCCTCGTATGCAACTCCCTGTCTCTGAGATGACTAAACCCTTTCCTCTTTCTCCCCATCTCTACCTTCTGATGACCTCCGGGGCCGTCTGACCAGCGGCCCCTCACATCCCTCCGTGTGTGTGTGTGTGTGTGTGTGTGTGTGTGTGTGTGTGTGTGTGTGTAGACTCAGGCATTACACTGGGACTTTTCCTGTTTCCCTCTTCTCTTCTGTCCTTTCTGTGTTTCTTTACCTTATTTTTTTTATCTCCCTCTCAATAACAATTTCAATGAGTCACACCTACAGGTCTGTTTCCCCATCCACCACCCACCTGGACCTTGATCCTCGAAGTACCAACATGGGACCAGGGCCACCTTCTTTCCCAACCCAGTATTCCTCACTCCGAAGATGTGTGTGTGTGTGTGAGTGTGTGTGTGTGTGTGAGTGTGTGTGTGTGTGTGTGTGTGGTATGGGGGGGTATTGTTTTGAAACAGTCTATGTAGCTCTGGCTAGTCTTGAACTCAGAGATCAGAGATCACCTGGTCTCCCAAGAGCTGGGATTAAAAGCGCCCATGTCCAGCGCTTGGACTTCTGCCCAGCTGGTTTTCAGCTTTTCACACCCCAGCCTCTCCCTTCACAGAGGCAGCGGCTGCACCTTACAGAGCCTGAGCTGAACTACTTAAAGTCTTACAAAGTTGATCCAGAAAATGGTACATTTCCAGGAGCAGGTTTATTTCAAAACTGTAGATACATATATTACTTTTTATTATATGCAGTAAGTAATTTTAAGCATATATATATATATAAAGTTTCACATTTTTAAAGTTAAAAAAAATCTTTTAAAATTGTAGACCATTTAAAAACCCAAATGAGATGAGTATATATATCTTACAATACAGGTTTATACCTTAAAATTCACATTTCAGAAGCTGTCTGTAAAGGTTAAAAACTGAGTAAAAATTATTTACAAGAGGCGATGATTACGGTCTCCTTATCTCTGGAAGCACAGGTTAATGGCCAGGGAACGGAGAGCTACATAAACGCAGTTCACCGGTACATGGTGTGGTCTGAGGCCGCTACCGCAGCCGCCTCTGGAGTGGTCCCTGTACATCACACACATCTGCGCCATCCCCAAGCTCCTCTCCTGCACAGACGCAACCTTCAACCGATGAGCGATGAGCAGCACTTGAGCACTGCATCCCTGAGCAGAAGACAGAACGCAGTCAACAGGCGCAATCAGACCTCTGCGGGGAATCACAACACCTTAAAGTGCTTCTAAAGCAGTCTTGCTAATTTTTGAAGAGGTATTATCACAGGAACCTTTAAGAGCATGCACACAGCCTAGACTTGTGAAGAAAATGTGGTGGACATGCACAGTGGAGGGTTTTTAAAAGATTTTAATTTTCTGTGTTTTATTATGTCTGCCCTGAGTGTAGGGTGGCTGCGGAACCCAGAAAAGGAAAACAGGCAGTTATGAGCCACCTGACCCCGAATAGTTTGGTCTTCCAGGGAAGTGGCAAACACCCCTGAACCGTCTCTCTGGCCTCTACAGTGGAGTTTCATTCAGCCAGAGAAGAACGGGAACGGGAGAATCCCGTGGCTTGTTGGGAAACAGGTTGGGCTGGAGATGACCACTGTCCTACTTAGCTTAACTGACAGACCTACACATTCTAGAATCCCCAAGGAACTCTCGGCTGAGGGGCTGCTCCGATCACACTGGCCTGTGGATGGTGCCAGTCCTTGATGGGCCAGCGGGCCTGAGCCTTGTAAGGCCCTGGCAACAGACAAGTCCCTGAGCCAAATGAACCCCCTCCTCCCCGGAATGCTTTTGCTGCTTTTGTTTTCACAGAGCGTTCAGGACAGCAAGCCTGACTGTACTCTCTCCTGTGTGAAACTGATTTTTAAAAGGAAATGTTTATCACTGCATCCTAAGTATCCACACAGAACTGCGATAAACTTCAGCTTCCACATCTTCTTCTGCCTGAGCCATCACACAATGTGCTTTTTAAAAGAAACAGACCTTACTGTCTCAAAGGCCACTAACAAAACCTGCCATGTATTCATCCTGTTGCCTGTGGCTCTCGGATCCAAGAGCCCTAACTTCCGGGCCTGGGCCACGCTCTTATCCGGTCACGTTCTAGCAGCTGCGCCATCTGCAGAGCCTTCACTGACCTCCCCCCCCCACACACACACACACACTGCACTCTTGCCCAGAGAGCCATCTCTGCTCTGGCCCAGAGCCTCCTCCCTGCAGTTTACATTGCTTTGCCTTTTCTCCTTCTGTGTGTCAAAAATAATCGTCATGAGAAATGGAATAAACACAGGCTTCCTTCCATTGTTCATACTAGGTATAGAACTCTGCTGGTTTTGTAAATATATAAGGTATCTTCAGATTCCACAAAGCCCTACTTTACTAGAATTTTTTTCCCCCAAATCTATCAGATTTAAGGTTGAAATGCTTTTCTTCCACAACTAAATCACTACATTCCTCCAGAAGAGCAAATGGAAACAGTGAGGCAGACGTTAGACAGAGGCTTCTGCGGGTCAGGATGTCTACCTATCACACCTGGCCCCGCCCTGCGGAAGACAGAGCCTCCTGCTAGCTGAGAACACTGATGTGCTCAGGGTTCAGCAAAACTTCCCGCTATTTTCCAAAACAGAATTAGTCTTGCTGGACTCTCTGCCTCTTAGTTACTAAACAGAAACACCCAGGCTTCTGTTCACATTGGAACCATCCCGCCTCCGTCCACACCAAGATGTTCACTTGGAGGGGGCTCCTATGCCAAGCCAAAAAGCCTCCTACGTGTTTTGTGTTGTGACAGGGTTCACCACGCAGCCCTCAGTGGCCTAGTGAACTCAGGTGTGAGCCACCATGCCTAGTATCTAATGTGAAAGCTCACTTAAACTCACACCCACAGGGAATACGATGAGACTGAGAGGCGCTCACCTTGCATATGGGATGTAGGACAGACTGTACCTGCAAGAGAGAGTCAAGGATGCTGACATGTCCACACCACATCCCCCCCCTTCCCGCGGGCCACCTCAGCAGCAGAATACAGGACGGCGGTTTCCAAACCGTGACTTCACTCTCACGCAACAGCACGGACCAGGAGGAGCTCCTGGGCTCTGATTTGCTGGGGATGGACTCCAGGTCCTGTCCCACTGAGCCCCACCCCAACTGATACTAGTAACTAGCAAAGATGCTGATGCTGAGGCTTTCAGCTTAAGTTACCCTCTTATTCTTCCAGCAGAAGCTAATGGCACTGAGAACTGGTGACAACTTCCTGGAGAAAAGCCAACCAAGTACACAAAAGCCAACATATCTCAGAGAGTAGCCCGTGTAGTCTTTAGCTTAGATTCTTCACGTTACATGGCGAGTCTGAAATGCACTGATGAGATGACGCCCAGCGGAAAGGTAGGAACAGAGCCAAGCAACAGAAGAGCTGAGCCCAGCTGGTAACGGACAATGGGACAGCCCAGCTGGGGAGGGTTAGGGATGCTGGGGAGGGATGGGGGATGCTGGGGAGGGATGGGGGATGCTGGGGAGGGATGGGGGTGCCGGGGAGGGATGGGGGATGCCGGGGAGGGATGGGGGATGCCGGGGAGGGATGGGGGATGCCGGGGAGGGATGGGGGATGCCGGGGAGGGATGGGGGATGCCGGGGAGGGATGGGGGATGCCGGGGAGGGATGGGGGATGCCGGGGAGGGATGGGGGATGCTGGGGAGGGTTGGGGGATGCTGGGGAGGGATGGGGGATGCTGGGGAGGGATGGGGGATGCCGGGGAGGGATGGGGGATGCTGGGGAGGGTTAGGGATGTGGCCAGTAGGAGGGAGGTAAGGGAAGCATGCTCTGCTGTCTGACAGGAGGGGGTGAGGGGTGGCTTTCTCGGCAGGTGGGCAGAGGCTGTGAAGAGGGTTGTCACTGGAAGGACAGCGACACAGAGCAGAATGCCCGGGGCACCTGACAGCCCTGGGCTCACCCTGTTATATTCCTCTTGTTGGAATTCAAGTGGTTTCGTCTTCGTTTCTAATCAGTTTGCCTTCTACAGTAAGTAGCCCGCCCGAATCCAAGGGAACCCTACACTCTGGTCTCTCCACAAGTACCAGCAGAGCACACTGTCGGGAATGGGCCTCACCACACCTGCCTGTGTAGGAGCCCGGCTCTCCCCTTTCTGGGGCTCAGGATTTTCATTCTATAACTGGTAAAAGGAGACTTACCAAGTCATCGACAGGAACTGCAGGATGCAGAAGAGTAAGGCCAGCCCCTTCTTCCGCCACTAGCGACAAACAACATAGGGTTTTAAACACTATCGTTACAATCAGGTCCAAGTCTCCCCCTTAGAATTGATAGCCCGGTTTATTAAACATACTCCTATATATTTAAGAACCTTAAACATCATCTAGGAAAGTGCATCTCCTTTCCAATGCCATCTCTATTATCTTACACGCTATGAAATACACAGTGAGTGACTTCCAGTGGTACACAGGCTGGAAATGGGAACTCCTCAAGGTCACAACTATGAACTGATATAACCTGGGCTAGAATAAACATTAAAAACCCCATATAAAATTCATACAGAGTCTGCAGCAGGCAAAGCAGAGATGACGGGCTTGCCGAGGTCCTTCCTGGTCGAGGCTGCTGTCAGAGAATGAGTGTTCTCACAGGGACCTGCACCTAACACCAACCTCTGTGTAGGCTGCGCACAGCAAATTCACCTCACATCTAGCCAACAGGCTGTCTCTAGGACACTGGCCTCTGCGAGAATCTAAGACGATGGTACTATGGGGACCGTTAGAGGGAGCCAGCGTGGTCAACATGACTTACCCACAGAGCAGCACACAGGGTGAACACAAAGCACAACTATAGGAAAGGAAAGGAAAGAGGTAATGAGAAATCTGAGGTCCTTCGGGGCAACAAAAACGCACAGGCTCTTCTGCACTCACTTCCCCGGACACCTTAAAGCCTGCCTCAGCAGTGGCCCCTGCTCCAGCCAACAGACGCACTCCGTAACGTGCTGGCTAATAAAGGGGAAGACTCTGGTGGGTAAGGTTCAGAGCAGAGAGGCTGTTCCCACGGCTCCCCTGTTGAGGTCTGCGGCAGTGCAAACAGCTGTGCCTGGCAGTGCCCACTGCTTCAGCGTGTCCCACACCCCACCTCACAGTGACGGCAATGTGACCTTCACAGACTGCACGGGGAGTCCGAGTTAGGAAGGCCTGATGTGACTGACCCCAGTCTGCCCCAAGTCAGCCGAGGCCAGGGCTTTCTTAGGGGGCCTGTCTAGGGCTCGGCTGCTGCAGGTCTGCGCTGGGGCCACGGCTGTCTTCACCACTACTGTGGGGCAGAATCTGTGCGTGCAGCAGCTCAGCTCAGGTTCCACATTCTCCTGGAAACAGCGTGACTCAGGCACCGCCGGGGTGGGCAGTGTACACGGCCCCCGAGGAGAAGCTTTACGTTTCCAGCATCTAACCGCTACCAACTGAACCCGTGTGGGGTGCACTACTGAAAGGGCTGACCCTAAGTGCGAAGACATCACCAATAAGGCATCCCAAGCAGAATAAGAGCGTAAGGCGATTTCCTATAAAGCAGACCAAGTTAAATGTAAACACACGCTGACAGACTCGGTCTAGGAAACTCAATCACGGAAATACAATGGAAATACAACTAAAGGACATAAAAGACAAAATTAAGCCAAACTGAGCTCGGGTTGACGGAATGATAAACTTCAGCTGAATATTCTGTATGTAGAAACTAACAGAGGCTGCCTGTGTGCCTGTGTTTCAAAGGCTACTCTTCAAGGAGGGGAAAAGAACAGGCTAATGCTGGAACTTAACTTCTTTACGCACCACAAATGCTTTATTATAAACCCAACATCAGCAACAAGTGGACCGGGAAGGAAAGAAGGGAGGGAGGGTAAGAGCCTGGGTTCCCCGACCCAAGACTCTCGCCGTGAGTGAGCGCGCTCTCTGCCCTCCCCTAAACTCAAGCTAAAGTGATATTACCACTGTCATGTCAGCCAACAGGAAGAGGCAGGCGCAAGCCTGCCATTACACTTCCAGTTCTTCCCAAGAAGACCCCGATGGACTCTTCCCTCCGAAGAACAGACAGCCCAGCAGGTGTAGGGCTTAAAAGTGAAAATGCAATCGGCTCTGGTTCTGACTACTCCCAGCTACATAACAGACATGCGACAGGAGGTGTGTCGTATTATTAGATAACACCGTGTAAATCACACAGCCCTGAGAATATTACTTTAACAAGAAATGCACACACACACAGACTCATTCACGGCAATGATGCAGAAAATGATACTTCGGTAAGTTTATGAAATTAACATTATTTACTTACAAGCATGATAACTGTGGCGAGCAATCTTGTTGTTTCAAACATTTTCTTCAGCTGCTTCAGAGGTCCCATTAAAAAGCATGTACTATTCGAGACAAAGTAAGAGACGGCTCTAGTCTGGCTATGCAAACATAAAACCGCTATAAAATAAACTGCGTGAGTTGGGTTGTTTGCATACTTTTCTGCGGGTCGCTGTCTTTGCCGCTGGCCTTAAACACCCCACTCTCCTGCCCCAGTCTCCTATGTCGAGGACTTTCCCTCTAACTTGGAGACAGGGTCTTTTCTGTACACATGTAGCCCCAGCTAGCCATAAACCACAATTCTCCTGCCTCGCTCGGCCTTCCGGGTGGCTACACGTAGTGACTGCTCTGCTTTCTCCTCCAGAGATGGGTGTCACATGAATGTCCACCGGGCATGCTGCCCTCCCCGCCCCGTCACCCTGAAGGACACCTCAGGACCTGCCATGGCCTTAACGCAATGTTGGTATGGCTGGTGAGGAGGGGTGACGACGCCACAGTTTGTCTCCCATCCCCTCATGAGTGGAAACATGGCCCTGGGGTGACCCTTCAAACACGCCACGGGGGCCCGCCACCCCCCCTCAGGGAGGGACACAGGGTGCAGCCCCAGGCAGACAACTGAGACCCTTCCCATCTGGGCCTTCCCAGCCTGTGGAATGGGAGAAACATCGTTCTTACGGTCTGTGGTATTGTCAAAGCAGCACAAACAGACTGGAAAAGACATTCTACTCATCAGAAAAACCGGAGCCCACCCCAGCAGCACCAACAGCTTCCCCGTCAACGCTCCCTCACAAACCCTTCCTCCACAACAACCAGGACTGGAGGGTAGCTCTGGAGAACACCCCAGGCTGGGATCCAGCCTCCATGTGTGAGGGCCGTCCTCTACGCTCCCCAAATTCACCATCGGCCACCGGGTATCCCTGGTACTCAGCCATACAACAGCAGTATCCCACAACCAAAAAAAAAAAGCTTTGCTGCAGAATTGACATTAATAAACAATAAACAGCCGGGCGGTGGTGGCACAAGCCTTTAATCCCGCCATTCAAGAGACACAGGCAGGTGGATCTCTGTGAGTTCAAGGCCAGCCTGGTCTACACATAGAGTTCCAGGACAGCTAAGGCTACACAAAGAAACCTTGCCTTGGAGGAAGGGGGTAGGGAATCATGCTACTTACAAAGGACTTATTAGAGAAGAAATCTCTTGGGGGGGGAGGGATCATGCTACTTACAAAGAACTTATTAGAGAGGAAATCTGGTACCAACAAGCAAGGCATTTTGAGAAGCTGAAGCACACACACCTGGCCAGGGCCGCAAGGTTTCCAAGGGTGTAAAATACTGCAAAAAGTTTTATGCCATTGGGAAGCCACAGCAAACCAGTTCCCTAAAGTAGAAATTATAGTTAGTTAAGAACAATGTGATCTTAACAGCGTAAAACTTGAAAGTGCTTCTACAGCGGTTGATACTAAGTACCATACAGTACAAGCTTAATTAAACACAAGTGAGGTTACATGTTTTCCTGCATCAGCGTGTACAGAACTGTCTCTACACCTGTCCATAAATGGTCTGAAATGAAGGATCCATCTGAATGCCAAGTTAAAACAGGCTCGATAAATCACACCTAAATTACTGACTGTCCAGTTTTCAACACAGAATGGTGTCCTCAATATGATGTAACATTTCCTCCCATCACCGTAACATGCATTTCTGTACATTTTTAATCAATCCCTACATATTTATTTAAGGTCACTGTGTCTCATCAAAGTAACCTGAAAGACGTTTAGATAAAGCAGGCTAATTGTGTCAGTTCTAGATGAAATTATTCATTTAGCACAACGTAAGACTAATAAACGACAGACACAAAGCCTTAACTCACAAGGATCGAACAGAAAACGCCAGCAACAAAGCATATGATGAACCACTTCAATCTGGTGTTGAAGCTAAGGGACGAGGCGTCCAGGACCTTAGGAAAGAGGAGACAATGGAGATCGTTAGGTCGGCATGTGCGACTCTGACTCTATACTACATACACCCAGCAAGCGTTTTTTGTTTCTGGTTTTTGAGGCAGTCTCTCTATGTAGCCCTGGCTGTCTGGCAAGTCTCTACGAAGGCTGCGCTGGCCTCTGCCTCCCAACCCTGGTGCTGAGCCTGAAGGCGTGTGTCACCATTCACTCTGACACATGGACCTGACTGTCTTACTCTGCACACCGCAGTCACTACTGGGGCTCTAAGGACAACGCACATCCTACGATGCTGGAAAACAACCTGGTAAGAAGGAAGGATCACAGCATGGTTAGCACCGTTTGTCTTGGCGTCCCTCCCTGTTGGGTGCAGCACACCCACGCTCATCTAGGCAGAACAACACAATGCACAAGATGCATCCTTAAACTGGGGTAAAGCCAGCCGCGCAGCATGCGGGAGACGCTGAAGCTGGGCGTGGCACATAGGTTCATCCTAGACCCCTCAGCTTCTGCCAGTCCTGCGGAGCGAGACAGGGATGCTCTCAGCAGAAACCTTTACGGGAATGGGGGAAGCAGGAGGGAAATGGAAGGCACCCAACAAGGGCGCGTTCACCCAGAGCCGCACTGCAATGGACGTCCAGACCCAGAAGGGGGCTGGGTTTTGGGCCTTTGCCCTAGGTGACACCTGGCTGTAGCTAGAGGTACAGAAGGGGTGGCGGCAGACCCTGCACAGAAACAGCAATGAGTGCTGGGCTGCAGGCCTGAGAAAGCACCTGGAGCCAGCAGCCACAGGGACCCACAACACGCACACACGCTTAGCAACCTCCATAACAAAGTTCATCTAAAGGTAACTTCTGAAAACACTGCATAGCTCCGTAACTTCCCAGGAAAATATTTGAATAAAATTTTATTATAGACCAACATTTCCATATGTCACGCAAATTCTACCCAATTTTTAAAAAGATGTATTTATTTATTTGACGTATATGAGTGTTCCATCTGCATGTACAACCTTAGGCCAGAAGAGGGCATCGTACAGAGGAGAGCAACAGATTCCACTTGCAGATGGCTGAGAGCCACCGTGCAGTTGCTGGGGATTGAACCCAGGACTTCTGGAAGGGCAACAGTGCTTTAACGGCTGAGCCATCTCTCCAGCCCCTCTACCCAGATTTTACAGCAAGTAGAAAGCCTATATATTCTTTTGACAATCTAGCATATAATCATAATTAAATAAATACTTCGAGACTGCCCAGTACTATTAAAACTTACCTTCCCAAAGAGCTGTACAACTGTCAACAGGTGTTTATCTTTAACTAGAAATTTGGTCAGGCATGACAGTGCATGACTATAATCCTAGTACTTGGGAAGTAGACACAGGAGTTCAAAGCCAACCTCAACTACATGGCAGTTCACAGCTAGAAACTTATAAGAATTTCTATTTCAAAATTCAAATTTCTAAATAGCCCTACCATATACACTTAAGAAAAGACCACCAGCTCAGGGTACTTACATTAATTCATTCATATGCACCATTTTACAATCCCTTGGTTACCACCCCTTACCTCTGCAGATCAGCTGAGGCCTCCTTATGCAGCATGAAAAGCAGATAAAACAGGTTTCTGTTAGCACAACACACAGTACTAAATGCATCTTAAGTGTCTTTGCAATGCCCTTTAGGTCAACATTTTTAGTTTGCCAATGGCACCGTTACAGCCTAACTGGACATAAGGTTGTAAAACTAACAGCCTATAGGCACCCAAAGCCACTTCTTACCAGGGATTTACACACTACGTATATTAAGAATAAAAACCAGATGTCACATCACTTAACAAATGACCTAACGGTCCATTCTTCAGACTGCTGTCACACACATGTATCACACATTCGAGAACAACATTCTCTGTCATACATGCATCCAATTTTCACTGTCAGTTAAACATGGTAACAGTCACTAGTTAGGACTTCTAAAAGCTGGTGTGATCTGGCAATGATGTTAAAAACTTATGGAGAAAAGAAAAATACTACAGTCGTTTTTATTTTTCTCTAAGAGCTTAAGTCACTTCCTTGTTTCTAAGCTCAAATAATAGTTCCTTTTCTCTTTATTTTTCTTATTTTACATATCGATCCATAATAGTTCCTTTTAAAGGGCCCATTTGGCTCCCCCCTCCACTGACAAGCACGTGTAATTGTTTGTACAATAGGTTTCCCTCTCTTACGACCATTTCTGTGTGATGATCATAAAATTGCAGCGTCATGACCAGCTAGCCCGTTATGAACACAAAGTCCGGAAGCCAACAGTGTGTCAGGTACAGAACCCACACGAGGAACACGACATGAGTCTGCAGGGAGCCTCGCACCCAGCCTTCCCGCTCTGCAGCACCCACGTCCACAAGCTTCTTTATAGCCACTAGGAGCAACCCATCATCTGACGCGTCTTTAGTCTCAGACAACACTCACACATCACAACTGCCACCAACTTTTACTTGTCACCAGAAGGAACAAACCAGGTCCCTGCAAAGCAAGAGCCACTCTTTCTATCCTGGGGGACTTCCTGCCATCACACTCAACACAATTGACCGGACGGTCACGGATAAGCATCAGAAGGTGAACCACGGATGCGGACTCCTCGGTGGTACGGGCACTGAGCACCAACGTACCCACCACCCTCTGCACCTGGACGGGATGGAGAGGTTCGGGCTCAGGGCCACACCACTGCACTGCCAGGAAGAGCTGCAGAGGACACACACAGTCCAGTCCTCCGGAGAAGGACGCGTGCCGAAGCTTTAAATTGGCAAGAGCTCTAATCTCTGTTCTCCCCTCCATCCCCTCCCCCCAGATAACGGGCATATAAAAAAGCAGCAACCGGCAGAGGCTGGGGGCCTGCTCCTCTCTTCAGGGCCATTCTGAGCAGTGCACCTGTCTGAGCTGGCACACCCTGTCCCTTGGGGTCACGGGGCAAGGGGCTGCTCTGACCTACACATCTGTTCTGTCCTCTTCTTCAGGACTCCTGACCACAGGGCCAACCCCAGCCCACACGGTGGGTCTCGCATGATCTCCATATCCAACACAGACAGCCAACCTTTTCTGTCCTTAACCCATCTCCAGTGGGCTTTTTCCCATCCCACCCACCGACCAGAGCTCCTTCCTCTTTGCAATCACTCCATCTCTGAAATCCTTGCTCAAAAACCCCCAATCTTGGGGCTGGAGAGATGGCTCAGCAGCTAAGAGCACTCTCGGATGCTCTTGCCTTGGACCTGGCGGGTTCGACTCCCAGCACCCACACGGTGGTCACCACACGCCGCTCAAGCTCCAGGGTCTCCGATGCCCTCTTCTGGCCTCTTCTGGCCTCAGTGGTCATCAGGGGTGCACGTGGTACACACACGTCCAAGTAGGGAGACGCTCATACGCACAAAGACAAATCACTTTTAAAACACAGTAATGACAGAAATAAGAAGCGTCCACACTGCTGCTACCTCGCTGCGTCACAGCTCCCCTCACTGGTGGCAACTGTGTCTGCACAAGGCTTCCACACAACACCCCAAGTTCCCTTCCTGCTGTGGGGCCGACCCCTGCCCCGCACCAGGCCCGTTTCCCTGGGCTCTCTCCTCCCACACCCTCAACCTGCTTTCTTACAATGGCAGTTAACTATCTCTAGCCCTCTAGCTCTACTTAAATGCCCCCTCTGAGCAGACAACCCCCCCCACACTGAAAACAGAAGGGGGCAAAGGGAACCCACGAGTGCCATGGTGTGCTCACCCAACAGAACAGCCCAGAGCCTCACAGACCCTGAATACTCAGAGGAATGGTTAGTGCAGGCTTAGCAGGTGCGGCCTTGCTAGACCTGTGTCTCTCGGGGTGGACTCTGAGCCCATGCCATCCCAGTCGGCTCTCTCTGCCTTGTAGTTGTGTCTTAAGATGTGAGTTCCCAGCTACTGCTCTAGAGCCGCGCCCACCTGCCTGCTGTCCAGCTTCCTACGGCGATGCTCACGGACTGACCCTCTCAAACTGTAAGCCTCTCCCTTCTACAGGTTGCCTTGGTCATGTCTTATGACAGCAACAGAAAAGGAACTACGATCCCTGGAACATGCAGGCCCCTGCCTGGGCTCCCAGGGAGGTACACACTTGCCGGTCTGCTTCAAGACCCCACCCCTCAGACCTTGTCCACACTCCAGGGTTTCCTCTCTCCCCCAACAGCCTGCCTTCAATGCACTCAGGACTCTTCTGCCTTAAAACAACAATCTCCCGTGACGCCTCCCTCCTCCAGCCTCACACCCATCTCTCCACTCACTGATATGAGAGCTACTATGTGCTAGGTGCTAGGTGAGGGGCTCAGCTCCTGAATGAAAGCAACAAACAAAAAACTTGTATGCTGACCAGACATAAGAACGCCTGTCTTTAATCCCAGCACTTGCAGGCAGAGACAGGAGGAACTCTTTTTTGTCTGTAGCTCTGGAGGCTGTCCTGACACTAGCTCTGTTCACCAGGCTGGCCTTGAACTCAAGAGACCCTCCTGCCTCTGCCTTCTGAGTGCTGGGAATAAATGTGAGTACAACCACTGCCTGGCTCAGGAGGAATTCTTAGTTGGAGACCGACTTTGTCTACATAGTGAGTTCTAGGCCAGCCCAAACTATATAGAAAGACCTTGTACACCCTATGTTGTAACAAATCACCACCACCTGGGAAACTTACAAACAAGATAAATTTACTTCTCATGGTTCTGGAAGCTGGGAGTCTAAGACTCAGTCTAGTAGACGTGGTGTCTGGCGAGGACACTGGTCCATGGATGGCAACTTCCTGTTGCCCCCTCACACGAGGAGAGGGGAAATGGTCTCCCTAGCCTCCCTCCTGACACTACCACACCGGGAGTCAGATTTTAACATACGAATTTGGCAGCACATTCAGAATGCAGCACCGGATGGGTCTGCTCAGGCCTGGCCACTGCAACACAGCCTCATGGCGAGCTGGCAGCCCACACAGGCAGGCTCTGACGGCCTCGGGGTCCTGGCCTGCAGCTCCCCACTGACTGTGACCATTCATTTCACACAGCCGAGCCCTGAGATGGGGCTGGAAGGCCCGACTCTCCAATCTTCCCCACTTGGGTTTTAATCTGACTGTCCCAATGCCGCAACCATCTCTTTTCCATACACATCCTGCAGGGCAACCACTGGGCTACGCCCCTTCCCTCCTGGCCCATGCTGCTCCCAGGGGACACCTACTACTTTCAAAGCCACCGTGACACTGTGCCCATCACTGTGCCACACCTCTTGTCCTTGTAGAGTCTCAAGTCTTGATTCAATGGCATCACTACTGGAACATGCAACCCTTCCGAATTCTGAACTCTATTCTTTTTTTTAACTTTTAAAAGTCTCTCCTCTAATGACCCAAGCCTCTTTCTTAGCTAGGCCAGCCTGGCTGCTCTTCCATACACATAAAGCAAAACTAAATCTTAGAGGAAATAAAACTGGGGTGCTGAACCGGCACAGCCCAGTGTGCGCTCATCAACAGGCTCAGGTGCTCTCAGGTGGTGGCCCTACTTTGGGAGGCTCTAGAAACTTGAGAAGGTAAGGCCCAGTTGGCGGGTCACCCACTAAGGGATGGTCCCTTTGAGGGTCCTATCCTTGGCTTCTGCCTCTCCTTCCTGGAGCTGTGACGTGAGCGCTCTCTGTTATATATCCCTGCTACCAAGAACGGAGTCGTCCAGCATACCTTTCCCATCACGACGGACTAAAACCTTTGAAAACCGTGGACCACAATGTCCCTTCCCTCCCCTTAAGTCGTTTCTGCCAGGTACTGTGGTGACAGGAAAGTGACTAATACAGTGTCTCATCACTCGCAGTAAAGCTACCTTCTCCACAGTCTAGGAGACACAATGGTACCCAGAATCCCACTTCTTGCCTGCCGCCGGCCTCCATCCCCTACACCTGTCCCAGTCACCATGGTTTCCTCACTGGCCTGGCACACACAGGGCCACTGCTCCTCTCCTGGTGGGAAGCTTTTCCCGGCAGAGCACCCTAACAGGGAGGCTGACTGCCCTGTGCAACATCAACTCTAAGCTTCCCAGCCCCGCTTTACCCATCCCACAGCACGGCACACCACTGTAGTCACAGTTGAAGGTGGAACCAAAAGGTTTGTTTCCCACCAGGCTCTGCAGCACCACGGGCCTGCCCTTCACACTGCAATTACAAGGGAAGTAACAGGAGGCTCTTCTCGGCACACAGAGAGGGGTGTGGCAAGGCTGTCAGCCCTCACTGGTCTCACAGAAACATACTTGGGCACATTGCCGATGAGCTCCGGGTCCAGAGCTCTGTGGAGTGTGTGAAGTGACTTACTCGGAGCCTGAGAACACAGGGAGGGGACCAGGCCCGCAGGGAACTACTCGGAGGGGGAGGGGGCACACACGGACCACCACACGAGCGCGACAGGGACACAGTCTCCATCTTCCACACATTCCCAGGCAACTTCAGGACCATGTGCACGCGTTGACCTTTCCAGGGCAGGCTTGAGTCTTATTTTGCAGCCAAAGAAATCTTGCCTGAGGCCAACTCAACAGCCTCCTCGAGTCCAGGCCAGTGTGGATTTCCTCTGATGGTCCCCGGGTCTCAGCCGGGGTATGCTCAGATTGAAGTTCCCTCCATCTCAGGCTCCTCTTCTTTTCCCCTGTTGCCATTTGTTGGGTGTTTGGCAAAGAATCAGAAATAGGTATCCATGTCCCCAGAGAAGAAGCCACATGGCCCACGGAGTTCCACTTTTCAGGGTAAACTAGTGAGTTTTTAATGGGCAAGTCTGTACCGAATGCTCGTTGCTAACCACTCCCTTGTCTGAGATGCGACTTTTTGCTCACTGGAGGCCTCTGAAGGCCACTGCTAGTCACTAATAATGGCAGCTATGTGGGAACTTGACGATCTGCTGGAGTGAATGCCAGTCCCTTTGCCCTTTGGCCAATTTCTTATCTACACACTCCCCCCCCCCCCCACCTCCAGAAACAGCTTCAAGAAACAAGATCACTTCCTTGTGCTCACCTCGTAGAAGAGCACTGTCCGACACCATTCCTGCCGTGGGAAATAGTCCTTCCTTATGTGCAAAGTCTGCATGGTTGACCACAAGGTGCTCAGCACTTAAAGGTGAGCTGTACAACTAAGGAAATAAGCTTCCATTTTTAACGTTTCCATTTAAATGGCTACATGTGGCTACAGCTACGTCACAGATCCAGAGCACAACTCGGGACAAGCCATATACGCTGCCACTTGTGATATTACTATGTATAGGCTTCTGCACTTCAATTACAATCCAGTTTCCAGTTCTCTGGAGGCAGGGGCAGGCCGAGCCTCTGCAGCTTCAGGCTTGCCAGGCTACACAGCCGAGACCTTGTCTCAAAAAAGCAGAACAACACGATATAGATTTCGCCTGTCTTAGCACAAGATGGGTTCGCAGTCTTGCCAACAAGGAAGGAAGCCGGAAATGAGAAAGGAACAAACACAAGACCTTTTATGTGACACAATTCAAGATCGAGTGCTCGGTGTGTGTGCCGGGACCGGCCAAAATGTGCTGGCACACAAAACACAGAGCAGTTCCTGTTTGCCTATTTTAAACTCTTAGGGAGGAAGCTAAGCCTTTATCAACTCTCATGCCCGGGTCACATGCAAACACAAGGGTTCTGCTAATAAAACGATAGACAAACAAAAACGCACTGCTACGGCGGCGGGCTGTCTTCACAGGCAACGATTAGAACGGTGCAGCAGCTTCGCATCTATGCTCGCCTCCCCAGGCTCTCTAGTCCGTGGCCCAACCCTCATCTCATGCTCAAAACTTCAGAGACCTGGAACCCGCGGGGGGGGGGGGGGGGGTGCGGCCGGGCTGGGGCCGGAGGTCTGTGCGTCAGGACCAGGTGCAGGGACAGCGACACACGGCTGCGGAGGGGCGGGTCTGGGAAGGCCACTGCGAAGCGGGGGGGGGGGGGGGGAGGGGGGGTGTCAGCCGGGGGAGCAGGGGGAGAGGAGGGCAGGAAGGGGGCAGCAGGGAGGAAAGCAGGGGGCAGCAGGGGGCAGCCGGGGGGCAGAAGGGGCAGCAGGGGTTTGCAGGGGCGGCGGGGGGGGGGGGGGCAGCAGGCAGCGGCAGCAGGGGTTAGCAGGGGTTTGCAGGGGCGGCCGGGGAGCAGAAGGGGCAGCAGGGGGCAGCAGGGGCAGCAAGAGTTAGCAGGGGGTTAGCAGGAGGTTAGCAGGGGGCAGCAGGGGTTTGCAGGGGTTAGCAGGGGGCAGAAGGGGCAGCAGGGGTTTGCAGGGGCGGCCGGGGGTTAGCAGGGAGGACAGCCGGGGGTTAGCAGGGGGCAGCAGGGGCGGCCGGGGGTTTGCAGGGGGCAGCAGGGGGTTAGCAGGGAGGACAGCCGGGGGTCAGCAGGGGGCAGCAGGGGTTAGCAGGGGGCAGCAGGGGCGGCCGGGGGTTAGCAGGGAGGACAGCCGGGGGTTAGCAGGGGGTTAGCAGGGGTTTGCAGGGGGTTTGCAGGGGGTTAGCAGGGGTTTGCAGGGGCGGCCCCGGCGCCCGGCTCGCGGCCCCTCATCCCCCCCGCGGCCTCACCTGCGCCGTCAGGCCTTGCTCTTCGTCGTCCTGGCCGCTCAGGACGCGCCGCAGCTTCTCCATGGCCCCGCGCTCCGGACGCCCCGCACGCACGCACACCCGGAAGCCGGGAGCCCGCACTTTCACGCTCCGGCCGGCCGGAAATCCGGGCTTTCCGCTTCCTTCGAGCGTGCGCGCCTGCTCGCCCTGGAGCTGCTGGGGGCGGAGGCGGGAGGGGCCGCCCGGCGCGCGCGTCACTTCCGGGGGCTCGCGCGGGCGTGGCGTGAGCCCGGGGCCCCGCCCCTTGGCCATCCGTCCGCGATCGGTCACCGGCGGGGACTGGAGGCCAGGGCTGTGCGTGCGTCCAGCGTGGTGCAGACAGGAACGGGCAGCGGCCGTGCCTCGCCCGCCTGTCCCTGTCGCTTTGGTTCATACGATTGGTAATTAAGCGCCCTTTGTTGTGTCTAGCTGCTTCTCTAACAGCTTCCACCCCAGAATGGGATCAGGAGGAAAGAGGGATAAAAACGGATAATCGGGAACACGGCCGTTACAGGAACTCCAGAAAAGGAGGTCGTGTGCCCATTAAACTGCGCAAGCTTTTGTTTTAGGGAGTCGGACCTGTACGAGCTGAAGTCCCGAAAGCCATCCTTTGCCCTTCGAAAGGTCGCAAAAGTGATAACAATGTTATCCTCTACAGTTGCAGCCAGTTGTGAGCGGCCATGTGGGTGCTGGGAATTGAACCCAGGCAGCCAGGGGGCTTTTAACCACTGAGCCATCTCTCCAGCTCCCACTGCCCCGGTAGTTCCTAAGACAGAAGTTCACTTTTGCGTAGAATAGAGACGGGACAAGACGCGTGTCTAACTGTATGTTGCCTGGAAAATGTAATGACGTGCAATAAAAGGTAACAGGTTTCCCTTCCGGGCCCTATTTGGGTCCCTAGTTCTCATGCTGTTGTATTCTTTTCTTGGTGGTAGTGGTGATTTCAATATTTGATGGACCCAGGCCTCTAAATGTAAGGGAAAACGTCCAATGAAAGAAACACACTTTGTCCCTGCAACCAGAACCAGGGAAATGCACCCCGACCCTGAAACCAGGACCAGAGAAACACACTTTGTCCCTGGAATCAGAGCCAGTGAAAGAAATATACCCTGGCCCTAAAATTAGAGCCAAAAGGCCAAAAAGGACCCTCGAAAGAAACACACTTTGGCCCTGAAACCAGAGCCAAATCTTACCCTGAACCTGTGCAGAAAACCAAGCAATCCCTGAGCAGATCCAGCCAGTCTGAGCTCAGGGACTGAAAGCTGACCAATCCCTACCCTGGGAATCTGTCTGGGAATACTACACCCCTAAGAACCCCCATATAAACTCTGTTTGTCCAGCTTGTGACTGTTCAGGCTGCCCAGGGTGGGCAGAGGATAGTCATTCCCCTGGGTTTTTCCCTCCCAGTAAATCTCTTGAATGAGGTTTGGGTGAGACCTTCTTTCATTGGAGCAGAGACACAGAGAGGACCCTGGGCGAAGTGGAGAGGAGTGGAGAGGGGTCGGAGTGGAACAGGGCAGGGCAGGGCAGGGCAGGGAAACCTTACCCTGGGGAAGCATAGTGGTTACTCTCCTCTGGAGCCTAACTAACAACTTTGCAGAGGAAACCCCCATTTGCCAGAGCAGAGCTGATACACCAGGCAAGCCTTTCCCTGGAACAGGGCTGTAAGCTGCTAAGCTTACTGTGACCTGTGGTATTCCTTGGCTCCCAAGTGCCAGAATCCATCCCTGTTCAATCCCATCTGAGCCGTCGAAATGCTTACACTAACCCCAGGCTCCCTGCTGCACCTTGTTCCAAAGGGGGCGGTTAGAGAGCCGACTCAGGCACCAGTACTGCACTGTGCATTCAACTTTAACAAAGCACCATAACACAGAGAGTGGCGATACTTTCTTTGTGCAAGGTTACGTAATAATCAGCTGATGAAATGAGACCAGAGTTTCTCAAGAACCAAACTGATTCTGCTCAGGAAAGACAGCTTGCCATTATTTCCCAATTCGGTGATTTTGGTGACTTTTTGAACCGCATCTGTTAGTAGGACAGGGCTGGCACTCACCAACTGAACCAGCACTGGCTCATTGCTTACATGTTCTGCTCTGGATCTCCGTTTCTCTTGCCCAGAAAACTAGGGAAACTTCAGCTCCCAATCTGATCCCTTATTTTCCTGCTCCCAAACACAGGGGTTTCCAGTGGCAGCAAGGATACAGGACAACATCCTGTGAGTCCTCTCCTCCAACAGCCCTTAGGGTAAGACCAGGTCTGTGGTTTCCAGCCTTGATGGCTGCTCTCCATAGTCCTGTAGTCTGTGGCGCTCTGTCCCCAGGATATTAACCTGCCCAGGCCCTGTCACAGCTACCTAGCCATCACTTTGTGATGCTGTGTTCTGGGTGTCTACATCTTCGATGCAAGCGATCGTATAAGAGGCTACCAAACGTCTTCTTAGCCACCCGATGCATTACCAGTGTCTAGACAACCTAAGAACCCTCAGGTAGAAATGGAGAGTCAAAGAACTGCTCAGCTTAAGCTTGTGGGTGACAGCCACCTCTTGAGTGAGGTGTGGGGAGCGCAGAAGCCAATGGGAGAAACTGAGGTCAGGGTATTATGAAACAAAAGGCCATTGATTCACTTAGTTTGCTCCCACAGGCAGCCTGTGCCATCCCCCCTCGGGGCAGACTCCCAGTGTGTGGGCTGGAGATCCTTGGTTATACAGGGAAGGTTTCACAATTGTCACCTCTGCCCCAGAACAGAACTCAGCAAGAAATTTGCTCCTGGAGGGGAGGCCAACATGTACTTCAGTTCTCACAGCTGGAATTAATGTTCTCGGAGAAGTTAGTCACAACTGAAGTCTATGTTGTTATTGGAAATGAAAAAAAAATGTAGCCCTTATTTTTAGGAGTCACTGGACAATGTAGTTTATGATTTTAAAAGTTTGCTTATGAGGCAAAGGCAGGCCGATCTGAGGCCAGCCTGGTCTAGAGTGAGTCCCTGAACAGCCAGGGCTACACGGCTCATAAAACCAAAAGGAGAAAAGTTTGTTTAGTTGGGCTTTTAATCAGGTTGTAAGTGAGCCCAGCTCAGTTTGCAGCTTCATCTTGCATCTATTCCTTTGATGCCCAGACTCTCACAACACTGATTACTCTCTCTACCCGGTCTCTGACACACACCATGCTGAGCACACAAGTTGTTCTGAAAAGGTTGGGCATCACATACTCTCCAATCGACAGACTAGAAGTCACTCAAATGCTGTGACAACGTCCTACACACACACACACACACACACACACACACACACACACACACACACCAGCTTGAGCATGCAAGCAGTAGGATCAGTTCTCACTCCCATGTGGGTGCCAGCAATCAAACTCAGGTCTGCAGGCTCGACAGGAAGTACCTTCATGTGCTGAGTCTCCTCACCGGCAAAGCAATCTTTATTTCCTCCTCTGTGTTTCCCGAGGAACCGTCACAGAACTATTGACTTGCGTTAGGGGCCCCTCTGGCTCTCATCTGTTGCTGGGTCTTTGTAGCTCTGTGTCTTTGGCTGTGACTCTTGTGGCCTGCTCTTCACGGTTCCCCTTGGGGAGCTGGTCAGTCTTCCTGATGGAAACGTGAAAAATCTTGGGCTCTTCTCCCAAATGTTGAAGGAACAAAGTTAAAATCCATAAAATCTGCAGGCGACTAACTCCCAAGGGTAGGAGAGGCCCAGGAAAGCCACACCTGTTATTCTACAATGGCATTTAAATAAAGCAGACTAAACCGGCAAACTGTGCCGGCTCTTTGGGTGTCTGTGTTAGAAAAGGTTCACGACAGCCCTGAACTCCAGGACCATTCCCAGGGAGGCTGCCGATGAAGCTTGGCAGGGGAGAGCCCAGCATGGGGCCTCTGGCCCTGACTGGTTATCAAGTGCTTGGCAATTTGTAAACCACCACCACCCCACCCACCCTCAACAAAGGACATTAGACTATGAGGTTCCCAAGAGCGCTGTGACCAGCTGGGCTGAGGGAGACACCCTCCAGCTGGCCATTTCCTCAGGCCACAACAGCTCTGCAGGTTCCTGAGCAATACAGCAAGTTACACAGTCACACTCAAATAGCAAATATTTAAATCATTTATTGCCATTAAGTTACCGATCTGAATCTACACAATATGGAAAACACTGGCTACCACTGGGAAGTAATTGTAGACATTTGGCCAATTGAGGGATATACTACAATCATTAAAGAAAAAAAAAAAATCAAGAATTTGAGTAAGTGCTTATAGTTATAAAATTTTGTTCCTTAGATTTTTATTACACAAGCCCCAATAGATAATATACACATTACTAAACATTACTACAGATAAACCATCATTCAAAATTATTAAATTATTTGCATATTTTGAACTACTCTTGATGAAGACATAAATTTTAGCATCGATAAGGCAGCAGAGAGTTGGCTTAGGGACTCTCTGCTCTTCTATAATGTTGGCAAGGTAATTAAGGATAGCATTCCGTGTTTTCCCCTCGGCAAGATCATGTATGCTGATGTGGTCTGTGGCTTGGCAACAGTGGCTGAGGCACTGTCCCTTTCAAGAGCTGGTCCTCGCCGCTACGCGGACGCCTTCTTACTCATCCTGGGAATAATCAGAGACACTTTAATGAGAAACAAAGCTCCTGCCAGCATGAGAGGCTCTGCATGGTTTTAGAAGACACGTTTCTGTAGACTGGTTCTGTAACGACGGAACATGCCATTTCACACTAATTCCTGCGCTTTTTAATCGACGTTCCCACTAACCCTCACAACAGTACACTGAAATAAACGTGCTCACTCATAGTTGATAAGCCGTCCTCCCTGAATGAGCTGGGCCACTTCATTTGTAACATGGCATGCGAACAGGAGCCAGTTCCGCGGTTGCACCTTGTAGGCAAATCTCATGAATGTCAAGGAATAGCAACAGAGGGCTGCAAAAACACCGCAACAAAGGCACGTGAGTATGTAGGACACCAGGCTGAAGGAAACAAGTCAGTATGTCCAATGCAGTGGTGAAGAAAGGACCTGTCCCTCGCACTCCTTAGCAATGGTGAGAGCTGCCGCCTGTAAGCCTCTAAGGTTGGGGGGAGCTCTCGGAATATTCAACTGTGTCATAGGTATGTCTGTTGTTTTTTCCTAAAGACTTAGGAGCAGGTATTAGGAACAAGTGAATTGAGTTCTTGCCACTTTTGCCTCGTGCTAGAGCCTTGAAAGAATTGCTACTTACACGCTTTCCTTCATTTGTATGTTCAAATGTTGGAGTCAAGTAAATTCATGACACCTTGCCAGACCAAGTTTATAATCTGTTGGCTATGAGGATGATTAAAACAACACGTACTCAAACTAAGCAGACTAAATGTAAAGCAAATAATTCTCACATTTCCCAAATACTTCAAATCAGTCTATCTCAGAGAGAGGGAGGGAGGGAGGGAGGGGGCACTCTCTGCCGCCCTTTTATTCTTCATGTGACTTCCTGATAGCAACCACAGCGTGTGCTGAGATGTACGCAGGGCTACATCCTGTGTCGCACCCTCCTTTACCTCCGTGTGTTCTTACCGAAGGTCATCCGCCCACTGATAATTTCTGGAGACTTCTTCATGTCATTGATGGCGGCGATGGGGAGGCCCCAGTTGGCAACCGGGCCCCAGAAGTGCTACAATAGACAGAGGAGAGGAAGGAAGGAGGGGACTTAGCGTGAAGCCGTCCACACCGGCCCTCCCGCCACCTGACCAGCCACAACGGACAAGGCTCAGCCTTCACCGGTTCCCTGTTCACGCAAGCTCCTCCCTAGCCTCCACACTACCGTCTGTGATCTCTGATTGCCCAGTTAAGAGAAGGGAAATGAACAACTTCTGACCAAGTCTATCCTTACGCAGTTTAAGCCTTATCACAACCACTGTCTATAAAGTTTAAATCTACCAAAATGCTTTCCCTCAAGTTTCCATAAGTTATCTACTAGCAAGATGCAGAGCATAGACTGAACATCTTTTCTAAGCAAGGTTCATCGTAGGAAGGAAAGAATGCTTTTCTAAAGCTTGACTTTCTTGTTTTGTTTTGTTTGTGTAACCCTGGATGTCTTGGAAATCACTCTGTAGACCAGGCTGGCCATGAACTCAGAGATCTGCCTGCCTCTGCCTCCTGAGTGTTGGGATTAAAGTTGTGTGTCAACAGTGTCTGGCTTCATTGTGGCTTTTTGAGATAGTCTCATTGTGTAGTGCTGGTTACCTTGAAACTCACTATGTATACCAGGCTGTAGCCAACAGAGATCTGCCTACTTCTGCTGGGATTAAATGCAGGTTTAACCATGCTTGGCTTTAAAGATTTTTTTTAAACAATTATATGTCTATGTGTTTGTGTGTGTGAGGTATCTATAGGTCTAAGTTCAGAAGAGGGCATCACATAGATACCCTGGAAACTAGTAACAATTGGTCACGGGCCATCTGACTGTGTGTACTGGGAACAGAACTCCGGTTCCCTGCAAGAACAATACACGCACGCTTTTAACCGCTGAGCCATCTCTTCAGCCCAAGTACAAGAACCAAGATCAAAGAACTGGAAATTTATAGCCAGGGTCTCCCACATTAGGAAATTACAAGTGTTTGAAAATACTTTTGAGTAATAAAGCAGGTAACCTTTTATTCTAAAAACTATCCACATCTAAAGTAACCAAAAATTAAGCTGTCTAATGGCAGCCATGTCTAATTCATTTTTAATTTCTGAGGCAAAAAAAATGTACTAAGCCAATGGTTTTGTCAACAGAATAAAACTGCTTGCACAGAGCTTGAGCACTAAATGGTGATGACAGCCTTCACTGACTTCCGGCCGGTACGGCGATTGTGATGAGTAAACACTGAGATACATTTCGATTTTGCTTTGAGTAGAGGTCATTACAATCTAAGTTGTGGGGCTCAGGCTTTGAAATAATGATGCTCAAATGTGTGTGCAGCCAGCACGACAGGTTACAATCCCTATCAGCAGGCCTGGCTGCAGGTTTGAGGACTCTCTGGAATTGTGTTGAGCAACTAGTGTTCACGAAGTCAAACTGCTATTACCTCAGGAAGCTGTCCATTCACTGTCTTCATCCTTGTATTTCAACAAGACTCTCTCTTTCATGTTCCCTGTGTCCTGCATCTAGATCAGTACTGACTTCTTTTCCTACTGTCTCTTTATCAGATGTTGCTTCTGTCTCAACTCTACTGCTCCATAGTAACGGCTGCTTTTCCTCCTCCCCTCCTCCATTTGCTCTAGTCCCATGGCTTTCCCGTTAATCTCTTTGCAATGCTCTGCACAGTGTGCTGGCCTTGATTTGACATCTGTTTTATGATGCAGACTGTGGCGTCTGTAAGAAAGCCTGAGGGGCTACTCCGAGACAGGCTCACAGCCCGCTCTACCACAGGTCTAACCTGTCTTCTGCCCAAGAAGGGACAGACATGGGGTAGAGCTAGGCTGTCTAGACACCTGAAGGATTTCTAGCAGATACCTGAAGGACTTCCAGTTAAATTGTGGCTTCTTTAAGAATATGATTTTGATTATATCACATGGACTTCTAAAAGCTAAGAAACACACAGACAGCTATAGCATTGAGCTACATTTAAATACATTCCTTAACGAAAGGATCCTACATCGGACATGATGGTACAGGTCTCTAAATCCCAGCATCTACAGCAGGATGGTGGTGAGTTCAAGCCAACCTAGCCAGGTATGACAGTGCACACACTTAGTCCCATCTTTGGAAGGTAGGGGCAGGGAAATCTCTGTCAGTTTGAGGCAAGGCTACTTGGTGAGACCCTGTCTCACGAACAAAGGAATGAATGAATGAATAAATGAATTAATGAATGAATGAATGAATAGTAAGTCAGCCTGGTCTACAGGGTTAGTCTCTGTTAACAAACAGACAAACACACACACAACAGAAACCATTCCAACAAAGGCGGCTTTGGATGCATGTTTTTATCTGGTATGAAACTGTAATTCTCTCTTCCCTGTTATGAAACATGTGTCTGGTTAGTGCCAGAAATTGCAGTCAACTTATAGAACAATAAGGAATTTTGTGAATAATATTTATTAATTATATGCAAAACTGCTACTCTGCTTTCACTGTAGCTATTATAAAGAGCTGAAATAGGCCTGTTTCCTGCCATCTCTCTGAAGAAGCACCCAGTTCTTTCTCTCACCCCCCCCTTCTCCTAATAAAACTCCCTTCTCCCTTAAACAAGGTCCAAACGGGAACTAGCAGCATGGTGTGGGGTCTGCCGTGGAAACAGCCCAGTCTCCTCCTCCTCCTCTCTCCTTCTCTTCACCAAGCTGCCCGTTCTGAGGTGACTCCAGTTAAGGCAGCAGGACAGGCTCCTTTCTATACGGGAGAGCCCAGAGATGTGCGTCCCTCACGCCTTACCGTCCAGTATGGGGGTCAGACAGCCACCCCAACGCGTCTGCTGTCTGAAACTCTACTAAAGCACAAAGTCCACAAGGGCCCAGAATGGGTACCACTTCTTACCGTACTATTTCGTGTGGTCGCCAAGGTGCAGACGGGGAAGACATGGAGGGAAAAAAAAAAAATAAAACAAAAAACAAAAAGAAAGAGAATCAGATACTTCCAAACACTTCTATCCCATTTCAAACTCATATGCATTTAAGTTTTAGTCCCATGCCAGCAACACAGTGTAAGTTAGGGCTGGCCAGACGGCCCGGTGGGGAAAGGTGCCTGCCACCCACCGAGCCTACCAACCTGAGTTTGACTCCTGGGACCTTCATTGTAAGGGCAAAGGTGAACCCCAAGTTGTTCTCTGACTTACTTTCACAAGTGATATGCATGACAGACAGAACCTCCTCACATAAAATAAGTGCACAACGACTTTTAGGGAGGAATCATAGGTAACAACAAGTGAGGTCAAATCTTCACTTTCAGCTGCCTAAGAGAATTACAGTGGACTATAACTCAATGCAGCAGGTGCTGGCAGTATGTCAGGAAGGGAGAAAGTAAGGACACGATGTGTGCATAGCAAGCAGCGACGGCCAGTTGTGCTCTGGCTGTGGAAAACTCCAGTGTGTGCGTGTGTGTGCGTGCGTGTGTGTGCGTGAGTGCGTGTTCAGCTCTTGCCGTGAAGGAGACTCGAGTCCATCACTGGGTGGTCCTGCCTGCAAGTCTCATAGCCCCTGGCTATTGAACATACCTCAGCTACCCTCACCTCGGCGCCCTCAGACTTCGGAGGGGAAGAAGACGAACTGGGTCACTTTAGGATGGAGCAGGTTTGTATTACCAGTTCCAGACTAACACTCCTTAAATAATTAACATTTTTACTTGTAGAGCTGGGCAGGAATCTGACCTCAAGTTTAAGGCAGCGAAGATGTTTTGTGTGTGCCCATGCTTGTGGCGTTACTCTGTTAGGTGTACTGGTCTTAGTTTTGTTTGTCTGCAAACCTGGAGTTTGCAAAGCTGACTAGGCATCCTGGCCCGTCCCCGTTTCTGAGACAGGGCCTCACTGTGTATCCCTGTCTGGTTAGAATTCACAGTTGCTTTGTAGAGCAGCGGACTAGGTCTGAACTTGACAAGACCCACCTGCCTCTGTCTCCCAAGGCTGGGTGTGAGGGAGTATGCCTCCACACCTGGCTTCCGGTCAGCTCTTTTCCTTTTTGATTTTTGCACACTGGTGCGAGGGTGTCAGACGCCATGGAACTGGAGTTACAGACAGTTGTGAGCTGCCACGTGGGTGCTGGGAATTGAACTCAGGACCTCTGGAAGAGCAGCCCGTGCTCTTAACCGCTGAGTCATCTCTCCAAACTAACCCCCCCCCATGTCAGCTCTTTCTAACATGTTCTAGAAATCATGTTTGTCTTAGCTAGCATTCCTATTACTGCAATTGGTGATAAAGCACCATGACCAAAGGCAATCTGGGAAGGACAGAACTCGAGGAAAGCAGGAAACGTCAGGAAATGGAGTAAAGGGAGGAGCTGATGGAGAAGCCACGTAGGAGTGCTGATTATCAGCCTGTTTCCTCGGGCTTGCTCATCCTCTTCCCATGAGAATCCAGGACCACACCACCAGCGAGCCGGGCCCTCCCACACCAACCACTGCTTAAGAAACTGCTGTACAGGCAGGCTTGCCTCCAATCCCATGGGGACACTTTGCTCAACCAAGGTTCCCTCCTCTCAGAAGACTCTAAGCACAAAACTATCGCTCCTGCCTTTGGTTGCCCACCAGACATCCTTTGCAGGCTCAGAGTTTTTGACAGAAGAGGCCTGAACCCCAGCTACAGAATCTTATACTATTAGCTATTTGCGTTTCTTGTCTTTCTTTTTTGTTTGTTTGTTTGCTTGTTTTTGAGGCAGGGTTTCTCTGTATTGCTTTGGAGCCTGTCCCGGAACTCACAGAGATCCACCTGTCTCTGTCCCTGAGTGCTGGGATTAAAGGCGTGCACCACCAGTACCCGGAACTATTTGCTATTTTCAAGTTGAATTATTGCGTGAGTTTCCTTTCTATCTTTTTATGATTCCGTTGCTCATTTCCTTTTGGTCCTGAACAATATTCTTCTGTCTGGATATATATCACTAAGCACTCACCCACTGAAACACAACACAACGTGTTTGGTACCAAGTTTGGGCAGTTATGCAGAGCTGCTATAAACAGCCACATGTAGGCCCCTGAGGAAATGAAATTTCAAGCTCTCTATTTATATCAGGGTTATGATGTCTGATGTATAGTCCCGAGGCTCCAGAGCAGCCGAGGCTCTGTCCGTGCTGCGTGTCTGGGCTTTCACTGAGTGTTCTGTTGTGCTTCACTGACTTATGTGCGATTCTGTCCATGGTATCAAGGGCCCAGGAGCGGCCTACATATGCTCACTTGCTGTCTGTGTGCCTCGAGGTGACGTCATGACACTCAGCCCACTCCAGTTTGGCTACCTCAGGAACTCGGTGTGTATCAGGTAACTGATATCTTTTCCAAATACTTCTTAGGTCTGTGCCTTTGGTACTGTATCTAAAATGGCATTGCCAACCCCAGTTAATTTAGATTTTCTGCCACATGCTATAGTTTGTACTTTATGTTTAGGTCTATAAATTTAAATTGAATGTTTTTTTTTTTCTATAAAGATGTAGGATGTGTCCAAATGTTTTGCCTGCTGTGAATGGCCAGTTGCTCAGCCCCATTTGTTGACGACTATGTTTGCTGCATACTTTTGTCTTTGCTCCTTGGCTAAAGTTCAGTTGAATGTACTAAGTGTGTTCACTTATTCCCTGCCTAGTCTGTGCCATTGATGTATTTATTCCTGTGTTAGTAGCACGGGTTTCCAAACCCTGCTCTTTTCCAAAGCCATCTCTGCTGCACATCATTCTTCCTTAAGGTTTTTCTTTTTGCCTGCATGTGTGCCTGCTGGCCAGAAGAGGGCGCCAGACAAGTGGTTGTGGGCCACCATGTGGTTGCTGGGAATTGAACTCAGGACCCTTTAACTTAAGCTGACAGACATTTCCTTTTGGGATTCACATGTTTAGTGCTCAGAAAACCTCAAGTTTTGTGCTTGGTCTAAATATCAGTTTTGTCAAGTGGCGGGTAAATATTCTCTCTTCCTTTCTACTACTACCTTTCATTTAGGTAGATATATAAACTCTTAAAGCTTTCCTGGGAACTCAGTAGTTAAAGTCAACTTGGAATAGAACACCGTATTAACTTGAGAATATTCACTGCCAACACCTCATTGACCTCAGAGTTGTAAGCATGCTGAGTGCTCTGTGTGTGTGTGTGTGCGCGTGCGTGCGCGCTCATTCAGTCACCTCTGTTCTTATATACTGTGCATGTGCCGATTTCCTCCGTCCCTAAGATAGAAGCCTTACACCACTGCTCACTCTAATTTAACCAACAGTCGAAGAAGAATGAGAGAGAAAAGGGGGCTGTTCTATTTCATTCAGCCAGTACGGTACATAAGGAAATAGTTTCAGAGAAGGACTTTATTCCCACCACTCGGGAGGGAGGCAGAGGCAGGTAAATCTCAGCCCAGTGTACACGGTGTAGAGACCCCGTCTCAAGAGTTCAGCTGCTCTCTCTTGTGTTCCAGTGCCAGCACCGGTGTGGGGGCTCACCGCCGTCTGTAAGGCTAGTCCAGGGGAGGTGACGCCTCCCCTCACCTCCACAGGTGCATTCCCAACAGCGCACCCACAGGCCCAGGCCAAACACATAGACTAAAAATAGAAGCAGGAGGGCTGGGGTACAACTTAGTAGCACAGTCCCTGTAGGGTTCACAAATGGCACGAGTCCCCACTTTGAGCCTCAGTACCCAAAGGCACCCTCATCAGGATGAGACGGCGGCGTAAGAAATTACAGGAAGCCAAGGGCATCAAATATGTAATACTACAATTAAAAAAAAAAAATTATCACAGGCCTACTATCATCCCAGCACTCAGGAGGCAGGGACAGGAGGATCTCTGTGAGTTCTGGGCCAGCAAGGGCTACAGTAGAAATTTTGTCTCAAAAATAAATAAATAAAACCCTATGTTTGTCAAGCACTGCAGCCAGCCACTGAAGCACCAACACTAAGCTTCACAAAACTAGGAGCCAACAGGACTAGCTTGCCTAATCGTGAGCACACCCAGCCCCTGCTGGCACAGGCTGGCCACCCCAGCACTCAGGAGAGGGGGGAGGGGGGCAAAGGGACCACAAGTTCAAGATTATCCTCAGCTATATATAATGAGCTGGGAGGCCCGCCTGCATTAAATGAGACCCTTAAAAAAAGAATTCCAGAAGGGCTCCAGTTCCGGAGATCTTAGGTCCGCCACGAATGTAAATAAAGCACGTGTAAGTCATTAATAAAATACAAAGTGCCAGAACCTTCAGCCCAAACAGTACAGAGTCATAATTGGATTTTTCTATCTATGATGGTCGAAGGGTGGTGTCTAGAAGAAATAACTAAGAATATATATCACCATGCTAAGTTCTAGAAAGGAAAGCATTTTTCCCCTAGGGGAGAGTAAAGTCTGCATTCAACACTTTGCCTCTTTACTACACTATTAACTATTAAAAAAGAAGGTTAAACCTGGCCGTGGTAGCACATGCCTTTAATCCCAGCACTTGGGAGGCAAAGAGACAGGTGGATTTCTGAGTTCAAGGCCAGCCTGATCTACAGAGCAAGTTCCAGGACAAGCCAGGACTGTTACACAGAGGAACCCTGTCTCGAAAAACAAACAAACAAACAAAAAAAACACAAACAAAAGAAACAACTGAGACTGTATATCACCGTGGTAAATTCCAGAAAGGATCTTTTTTTTTCCTCCCTAGAGAAGAAAAAGCTAAAATTAAAGTTTGCATTCAACACTTTACCTCCTTATCTAACGCTATTATTAAAAAGAAAGTTAAAAGGCAGCCTTCCAGTTACCCAGGTTTAAAACACACACGCACACACAGGAAAATAGAATTACGCCTGGAAATATTTTTAAACCGTTTATTAAGTCTTATAAATAGACGCAGGCAGCAGCGGAAGGTTTTAAGCGAAAATGAATTCCGGAAGGTGCCTCTTCAACCCCTCAAAGTCAAACCCACCGGACACACAAATGCAAGCAAAAGCAAACACTGGTCACACTGGTCGGTCCTGCCACACCACCTTCCCTCCACGCCGCGAGTTCTAGCTCCCATCGCCCAGCTCGGCGCACCCCACCCCCACCCAGCCCGCCCGGGGAATGTTCCAGCACCGCTCCCGCCAGTCCCAGGCCCGTGCCGATGGGGACACGAGGTGGAGGAGGGGAGTGGCACCCGGTGTCCCCACGTCAACCCACGCAAGGACACCTCGACTGCCTGCCCAGGAGCGGCGTCCCTACGGCCGGTCACCCTGCAGCCGCGGGCCACAGCTCTGTCCCCTGCCACCTGCCGTCCCCTAGCTCGCCCCGCCCGGGAGCGAGCACCGTCCCCTCGGTCACCTGCGGTCCCCTAAGTCACCGGTGCGAGCACCGTCCCCTAAGTCACCGGTGCGAGCACCATCCCCTAAGTCACCGGTGCTTGCACCGTCCCCTAAGTCACCGGTGCTTGCATCGTCCCCTAAGTCACCGGTGCTTGCATCGTCCCCTAAGTCACCGGTGCTTGCATCGTCCCCTAAGTCACCGGAGCGAGCATCGTCCCCTAAGTCACCGGAGCGAGCACCGTCCCCTAAGTCACCGGAGCGAGCTGCGTCCCCTAAGTCACCGGTGCGAGCATCGTCCCCTAAGTCACGGGAGCGAGCTGCGTCCCCTAAGTCACCGGTGCGAGCATCGTCCCCTAAGTCACGGGAGCGAGCTGCGTCCCCTAAGTCACCGGAGCGAGCACCGTCCCCTAAGTCACCGGAGCGAGCATCGTCCCCTAAGTCACCGGAGCGAGCATCGTCCCCTAAGTCACGGGAGCGAGCTGCGTCCCCTAAGTCACCGGTGCGAGCATCGTCCCCTAAGTCACGGGAGCGAGCTGCGTCCCCTAAGTCACCGGAGCGAGCATCGTCCCCTAAGTCACCGGAGCGAGCATCGTCCCCTAAGTCACCGGAGCGAGCATCGTCCCCTAAGTCACCGGAGCGAGCATCGTCCCCTAAGTCACGGGAGCGAGCATCGTCCCCTAAGTCACCGGAGCGAGCACCGTCCCCTAAGTCACCGGAGCGAGCACCGTCCCCTAAGTCACCGGAGCGAGCATCGTCCCCTAAGTCACCGGTGCTTGCATCGTCCCCTAAGTCACCGGAGCGAGCTGCGTCCCCTAAGTCACCGGAGCGAGCACCGTCCCCTAAGTCACCGGAGCGAGCATCGTCCCCTAAGTCACCGGTGCGAGCATCGTCCCCTGAGTCACCGGAGCGAGCTGCGTCCCCCTCGGTCACCTGCGTCCCCCTCGGTCACCTGCGCGCCCCTCCTCGGTCACCTGCGCGCCCCTAAGTCACGGGAGCGAGCACCGTCCCCTCGCTCGGTCGCGGGTGGAGCATGGTCCCCCCCCCCCCCGGTCACCTGCCGTCCCCCCCGCTCGCCCACGGCCTCCCGGCACCGCCGACGCCGCTCACCTCATCAGATAGTCCCGGAAGTCCTTGCTGCGGACATAGTCCGCCGCTTTGCGCACCAGCGCCCCAGCCATGGCCGTGCGTGCGTGCGTGCGTGCGGTCGGCGGTGCAGCCGCTCTGCCGGGGCCTGGCCTGGCCGGGTCCGGGTCCGGGGGCGGGGAAGCCGCGCTGCAGAGCGATGACACCGGCGTCCAGCGGCGCTCGGCGTCCTCACCCGGCCTGCGCCCGCCTCGCGACACCCGGGTGCGCCTTACGGCCGCCCGGCGCCCCGCCAATCAGGACGCGCCGAGCCGGAGCGCGCGGCCGGGATTGGCTGGCGCGGACCACACCCCTCCAGCGCCGCGCCTCCCCCCACCCCCGGGCTGCGGTCGCAAAAGCGTCCTGCCGGCCGACGCTTGCTGGGGACCTTGAGGTTGACGCTTGCGTGCCCCGGGGGCCTGGGGCGGACGCGATCCCGCCGCCCGCCCTGCTCCCGTCCCTTTGCCGGCGGCCGGCTCGGGCTGCAGTCGCCGAGCTGCAGCAGTCACCGGGCTGCAGCTGTCACCGGGCTGCAGCAGTCACTGGGCTGCAATCACCGGGCTGCAGCAATCGCCGGGCTGCAGCAGTCACCGGGCTGCAGAGGAGGGAGGCAATTAAAAATAGCAGGGAGCCTCGGCCTCACCAGTGCGGCCGCCCGCGTGCGCAAAGTGCAGGTTACGTAAGTCCCCCTCCTCGGGGTGCAGCCGCCCGAGCCAATGTTGGGACGCAGAGACACGCCCAGGCAGGGCGGGGCCGGTACGTTTGGTCTTGGCACAGCCACCTCCCCTCGAGGGCGCTCGGATCCCCTCCGATCCGCTTTAAGCCGGAGGTGAGCCTGTGGGTGAGGGCTCAGCCCATTGTGTGTGGCGCCATCCCTGGGCTGGTGGTCCTGGGTTCTATAGAAACAGGCTGAGCAAGCCAGTAAGCAGCTCCCCTCCATGGCCTCTGCATCAGCTCCTGCCTCCAGGTTCCTGCTCGGGATCCTGTCTTGACTTCCTTCAGTTAGGAACAGTGATGTGGAAATGTAAGCCAAATAAATAAACCCTTCCCTCCCCAACATGTTTTTTTGGTCGTGGTGCTTTTACCATAGCAACAGAAACTCTAACAGTCACCTAGGATTCGGTGGGGGGGGGGAGGTAGCTGAGATTCTCTCCTCACATGAACTCGATATGCCAGGCTGCAAACATTTGTGTTTATGTCTCCAGGTCACTGCTGCCAGATCCCATTTGGATATTTTCCTACCCCCTACCACTTCTGCTTCTCTTTTTATAATTACACTCCCTCTGGGGTCACTAGCAAAGCTTCGGAGAAGGGATCAGAGAGGGCATGAGGATTATAACCTGTTGGAGATAACAGAATAGTCCAGTATCAGTTTGATGTAAGGGAAATAATGTTTCGACTTCTTTATTTTTATGAGTACATAACTGAACATCTTAATGAGTTGTAACTTTTTTTTTGGTACTTGGATTTGCACCCAGGACCTTGTGCATACTGAATACACACTGTCACTAAGCTTTTCCCAACATTTCCACGTCTCCATGTATCTGCTGTTCAGATCAGCATCGCTCAAACGCTCATCAGTTCCCTGTGTTGGACCCTGAACTGCTTGGGTCACCTACTCTCATGACCCACAGGTCATCACATAGCTGAAGACCAGCTCTCCACTCCTGGCGAGTAGTCTTACTGTCCAACTTGCAATACTATCATCTACGCAGCTAAAGCCCATGCTCTCGTTAAGGCACGTGACGTTCCACGTGACGTTCCTCTTCCGCCCCAGCGTTCTTAGCTGCAGAGGCATCCTCATAGCTAAGTTGGTCCTAAATGAGCTTTTGTACGGGACGCCCTGTACCGCACGTCCAGGTTGTTCCTGTGCAGTGGGGTTTAGTGACAAGCAAACAAGACGCTACCAATGCTACCTTTAATTTCTGGCATTTGTCAATCATTTTATTGCAGGGATTCTAGAACCGGAGAATAAATCCGTAGAAAGCTCCACTGAAACTGTATCAGGCATCAAAACTCAGCACACAGACAGCACCGCTTACCAAAAACAAAGTCCATCAGAGTCCATAGTTCCGGGAAAGTCTCTAAATGTTCTGACCTTGCTTGCTTGTTAAATAAAGTATGTTGGCCAAGAGCATGGATTTTGTGCTTAAAAGCTCACCCTGAGAAAGGCCTGGTTACACACACACACACACACACACACACACACACACAGTGTTGTTGCTAATAAAGGACTTTCTGTTGACTTAATTGGCTTTCTCCAGTGAAAGCCCCAGGGCACTCATTAATTAGCCAGGGTGGCCACACATCCTCATGGCCCCCAGCACAGCTGGCAGGCAGCACTGGCTTCAGGGACACTAACCCTTTAGTGTACCCTCACTGTCCTGCTTCAGATAAGTCCTGGGCTGGGCGTCAAGGTAACAGGAACACCTCTGACGGGGTGGGAACAGACTGTCCAGCTGTAGCTGACAAACTGGAAGGTTCCCGAGCGCCTGTGCGTGCAACTGCTCCATCTGTTAGGCTGTCACTGACGAGGTTTCTCTCCAGCCTGAGACCCAGCTTAGCATATGCCCGGGGTGTGGCTAGCCCTGAGTTTCCTTCATCCAATTCAGATGTTAAGTGCTGTAGCCCAGGTGTGTTTTGAGATCTTTGCATCTAAACAGATGCAAAGGAACATACCTGTCCCCCAAAGGCAAAGAGGCTAGGTTCACCCCCCCCCCCGTGGTGCTGTCTCCTTAGCCAGAGGTTTCAGCCTCTGCCCTGCGCCAGGCAGAGCGTGCTGGCCTCGTCTGCAGTGGCTTCCTAAGTCTGTGTTATGATAAAGCTTGAAGGGGACCTTGGAGGATTCCATGGCAGGCGAGGGTGACGGAGGCCAGGGGACAAACATGCCAGGCAGACAGAGCTTAAGCGAGAAGTTTTATTAGAAAGGGGAGGGAGGAGGAAGGAAAAAGAGGTAAACAGAGAGAGAGGACAGGAGAGGAGGGAGACAGGAAAAGTCCTGTCCCTTGGGAACAGCGGGGAAGAGAATGTACGTGGGAGGGGGGGGGTCTATCTTTTAAAGGGGTCCTTTGCATCTGAGCTGACTAGGGCACTGCCTGAGTGCATTCTGCCAGGTGACAGGGGCAGGCCCAGTGTTAATGCCTGGGTCCTTACGCTTTGTGTCCTCTGTTTTTGTTGTTTGAAATGGGTGTCATACAGCACAGCTGGCTCCCAGCTCCAATCCTCCTGTCCCCTCTTCCCAAATTCAGGGATTATAGGCATGCACTGCCACACCCGGGATTCTCCAGGAATACCTTCTTATCGAGGGGATTGTGTCTTCTTCCTCTCGCTCAGATCTGCCTTAGTTCAAGGCAGGGCTGTGTCCCAGTAGCAAGAAGCCACAGGGCCATCTTGGGTTCCGAGGACTCAGCCTCAGTGAGTGGGGCTGCTTTATAAACGTAACAAAGTCAAGGAACCTGGCCCTGCCAGCTGCTCTCCTGGAGGAGGATGGCTGACCTGGCTGGCTGACCCAGTGCCTGCCTGGATGGTCCACAGGCGAGATGCCCACTCGAGAGAACACGGCAGTTTCACACTCAGAAAACAGATGGAAGCTTTACTTACTCAACCTCCGAGGCTCTGCCATGTGGACAGCGGCGGTGAGCCCTGATGACCTGCCTGAGCAGCTTATCAGAAAGCTAATATTTGCAGTGTGCTCATCTCGCCGGCTGCCCAAGGGGAAGCCACATTCCAACATCCCACCAACAGAGGAAGGAGTGGCGTTAGCTGCGCACCTGTGCTGGGCTGCCCACGCCTTCCCTTGTCCCCTGAGCCCCTTAGTTGTCACAGCCCACCTCCCCAAAGCACCCAAAGCAGGGTTTCATCCTCAGAAACTGAGGGCTGCAGCTTGAGCCTGAGGTGCCTGGCCGAGCACACACGGATTTTGTTTTGTTTCTCTACACAGGTTTTCCGAGAACTGTTTTTTTTCACTCTTGGCTTTTTGAGGGGCCCATCACCCCAGCTCTCAAATAATTCACACACAAAGTCTTAGAATTACTTACGAATGCTTGGCCTTAACTTGGCCCGTTGCTAGCCAGCTTTTCTTATCTTAAATTAGCCCGTCTACCTTTTTCCCTCTGGGCTTTTGTCTGTCTTCTGTGATCTTTCCTCTTACTCTGTGGCTGGCGGGCTGGGTGGGTGGCCCCTGACTTCCTTCTCCTCTCCGTTTCTCCTGGTGTTTATCCTGCCTGTCAGCTCCACCCATCTTTGCTCCTGCCTCACTATTGGCCCTACAGCTCTTTATTAGACCCTCAGGTGCTTTAGACAGGCGAACAAAGCAGCATAAATAAAAGAGTCACACACCTTAATATCCTACCACGACATGGCATTAGGTTTCCCCTAGGGAGTGAGACAGGAGCAGAAAGGCAAGGAGTTTTCTCTGACACATTAACTTCAGAATTAAAAAGGAATGGGTTGGATAGATTTTTAAAGGAGGAGGAGGACCTAAGTCACACGCGGGTCTGATCTGAAGGCTCAAGGCAGGGATGCAGGGTGAGTGAGCACAGAGCTAGCTGGCATTGGCCCGGCACTTACAGAACAATGGTGTGACAAGCATCTCCATAGGTCCAGGTCCCAGGGGCCACAATCAACCCCCGAGGCTACAAAAGACACAATGTTCCCTTCAACAAGTAACTGTTGTCTTTAAAACAAAACAACCCCCCCCCAAATTTATGGTGTATGCCCATTATCCATGACGCTATTACAAAAAGGACATTTTCATACAAATCTATATTGCACACCAGGCAGATTCCGCCCATGACCTCTACTCTCTCCCTCTTTTTGAAAAAAAAAAAAAAGCTTCTGTGTTTTCCCCAAGTCCTGGCAGACTCTAAAAGCCTGGCCGTGGGGTCCATCACAGCCCGACGGTTTACAAAACGGATCGAGCACACTCGAATTTGGATGTGCGCTACAAATCCCCAAAGCACAGTGGGGGGGGGGGGGACACTCTGCTTTGCCTGAGACCTCGGGAGGTGAAGGTGCTCTCTGGCTAGCCGTCCCAAGCGGGCCAACTCTGCACATACAGCACTCACAGGGGCAAAGGTACTCCGACTCTCCACTCACCAGGGTGGGGACAGGTAGAGGACCCTCCCTGG